TTGGTGTATGGGGCAGGAGTGTCATATGGACAACAGCCATGTGTTCTTACTCAGGGAAGGATAAGATCAAAATTGTTTAGAAAGATCATCTAAAATGTTCCTTATTCATAATCAACCTGATATTATGTTTAAATTCTGGGCAAGCATCTATGAAAAGGTATGCTGTTAAAGGCAAATAACTGTGTATGCAAACATTAGCACTGAGGCTTCTATAAGAGACACCATGGAAATTTTATTCAAATGCCTCTTAAACAAATTATGCCTTAGTTATGATCCATTATTTAGCACATTTCAAACATCAAGGGAAAAAAAATCAAGAGAAATCTGCAGATGTGTTATAGGACCATGGTACCTAGCCTCTAAAATGGCCTTCCAGTGATGCAGGCTTCCCAGTGTTGACATCTTTGTGTAGAGCCTTTGCTATGGCTTGTGTCTAGATGTCCCCCCAAAGCCTCATGCAGCTGTAGGCTTTTTCAGGGGTAGATGGATCTAGAGTGTGCGATTCTGGGATTAAAGGTGCGTGATTACTAAATTACTCCACTGATTGGTTTGGCATAGTTCTGGGTAGGATTAAGGGTGCCTCACCCTGGGATATAAAAATATAAGGGACAGAAAGAGGACTAGCGTGTGGTCACTTGTTGCTTGTTGCTTGCTACTTGCTGCCTTTTGCCTTCCCTGTTTTGCCAAAGAACTCTTTCTCCTCTGTGATTCCCCTCTGCCATGCCACCCTGCCTTGGAGCCAGCCAACTATGAACTGAAACCTCTGAGAAATGTGAGCCAAATAAATCTTCCCCCTCTAACTTTGGGTGTTGGGTATTTTGTCTCAGCAACAAGAAAAGTAACTAAGACACCATTCTATGCTGACTACAGATGATCCTCGTAACCGATAGGATATGATCAGAAGGATGGGACTTCTGTGGCTGGGCCTTAAAAGTCACTACAGCTTCTACCCTACCATTTCTTGCTCATTCACAGAAAGGCCAGCCACTCACTAGGTTTTAAGATTGCTCAAGCAACCTAGGAGAGACCTGTGCAGAAAGGAACTAAGATTTGTAAGCAACTAGCACCAATGAGTGAGTCATCTCTGACGCATCTCTTTCTGCCCATCCAAGCCTTCAGGGGACTGGAGTCCCAGTCAACATTTTTGTGTGTGTGAGTGGTTCTGGAGATTGAACCTGCAGAGTGCTGAGCTATATCCCCAGCCCTCCGCAATTTATTTTGAGACAAGGTTCTGCTAAACTGCTCAGGCTGGCTTTGAACTTACAATCTTCCTGCCTCAGCTTCGCAAGTAGCTCAGATTATAGGTGTGTGACATTGTGCCTGGTCTAGCCAACATGTTGAATGCAACTTCATGAGAAACCCCCTAGCTAGAAGCACCTAGCCATGTTGCTGCTGAATTTCTGAACCAAAGAAACTGAGAAATAATAAATGTTGTGTTTTAAACCAGGTAGATAGAAGATAAGTTATAGAGGTACTTTGCTCTCTTTCACTGATGTAGGGACAAATATATATTAAGAAATAAAAAAAATTCTTATATTTAAAATAACAAAATATTCATATTCGTAGCTCTAGCATATTATTTTGGATTTAATTCTAGACCTAAAACTATTAAATGAAGATTTTTATAGGTATTGTTTACTTATATAAATTACCATGCATGGCTGATTATTATAAATTAAACTTTGAGGAGAAAAATGTAGTGGTGATCAGGAAACTGTGTGACTTTGTTGTGCTTTTGGTAGGGAAAAAATATTTGCAAGGAAACCAACTGTGAACATTTGCTTGATCATTTGGTCCTTTGATTGTACTGCTTCTGAAGTTTTGGCTGGCATGGAGATCTTTAAGAATAGGTATTAAATGTGTAAGCAATTACAGCCTTTTTTGAGCCTTAAAAGGCTAAATTTAATTGTTCACATGGTCTTTTAATGTAAAAAGTCTAAAATTATATAAGAAAATATGTTATTAAATAATTATAAAAATTTCCTTTCCATAACTGAATGGAAGATATTCACAGATGAATGTTTATAATGCTGAGCTACATTGAACAAAACATGGATACATGGGTTATTTTTTCATTATTTTACTTAGTCCACTTTTACTATGCTATTTAAATGTATTTTGATTTATACTTTTATATACAGTAAGGACTACTAATCCTTTAAAAGTCAGTTTGTGTTTTACACAAATAAAATATATAGCTACTTTTAAAAAGTCTGTGGTTCAAATTCAAGTTACTGTGTTCTAAAAAATCTCAGTGAATTTAAAGTAGTTTCAGTAGCTCAGAGATAGAGTGCTTGCTTAGCATGCAGGAAGCCTTGGGTTTGATTCCCAGCACAGACCAAAATAAAAAAAAAAAAGTAAAGTACTTTCAAGTTGGTAGTATAACTAGGTGTCTAGCAAAAACAAAAGAATATTTTCTCCAAATGTGTTACTGTTTTGGCCTTACAACCAAGCCTTCTCTTTCACCTACTTCTACCCCTATGAGCTACTGCTCCAGTTATCTGCCCCTTTGTGTACTATAAGTACTGAGAGTTATTTCCACTGTCAACCTTCAGTATTCATGGAGAATTGGTCCCAACACCTCTTTCCTCCCAGAGTGGCTACCAAGAGCCAAAAATGCTCAAATCCCTTCTAGGAAATGGCATAGTATTTAACTTATGTGCATCTTCCTGTGTAGTTTGTATCATCTCTACATTACTTACAATATTTAATACAATGTAAATGCTATACAAATTACTGAGGGGGTTTTGTTTATTTGTTTGTTTGTTTTGAGACAAGGTCTCACTATGTAGTTTGGGCTGGGCTTGAACTCATGGTGATCCTCTTGCCTCAGACTCCCAAGTGGTGGGATTACAGCTGTGCACCACAACACCTGCACAAATAATTGTTAATATGGAGTTGTTAGAGACAAGGAGAAAAAGTCTGTATATGTTTAATACAGATGTATACCCCCCCACATGCTCTCAATCTACACTTCTATGAATTTGTGGTTCAGAATCTACAGATAAAGAAGGCTGGCTTTACTTGATGTTGCCAATTCCTCTCCTCTGTATCTCTTTTAAATGCATCCAGATTTGCTCAGAGTAAACTTTTTCCCCTATTATTCCATGGATGGCAACTTTGTCCTTACAGTTGCTTGGGCCAGACATCTTGAAACCACCTTTATTCTTCTTCCTCATACCCCTATCCTTTAGAAATCCTATTAGCGTGAATCTGAATTATGTCCAGAATCTGTACATTTCTTACATTTTCCATGTTAAAGCCACAATCTGACTATCAGTATCCTGCCTGTCTCCTTTTCATAAATTTCCTCAAAGGGGTTTTCTTACATCTATTAAGTCTCTTTCCAAAAAAGTAGCTCCAGAAATTCATTTGAAATGTAAGTTAAATCCTTTTACTTCTCTGCTCAGAATGACTTCTCATTTCACTTAATGGTGAAAGTCAAAGTCCTTACAGCAATTTGAAGGCCTTACATTATCTGAATCCTTTTATCTCATTCTTCACTATTTACTGCTTTGCTCACTTGCCTCGGCCCATCCTGGCCCCTTACAGTTGTCCAGCAGGCAAGCTCCTGCCCCAGGATTTTCCCCTGGGTCTTCTTTCTGTATGAAACATCCCCCTTTAGGAATCCGCAGTTCTTGCAATTTTCAGTCAACGATGTCTACTTGACTATCCTATTTGAAATGGCAACAAATCTTCCCCATACTCTCATCTTGTTTCCATTTTTTTCATAGCAGCTACTACCTCTTGACATATATGTTTGTTGTGTTTTCTCCTAGGACCTCCCATTGTGTGGGCTGAAGAGTCTCATTGTCTGTTCCTTACTTTCAAATAGTTTGGTCAGAATGGAAAAGAAAAAAAAAGCTGGGATCCATTGAGGGTTGTAATTATTATGTAATTATTTCAGGAAGACATAAATAACACAAAAACACTTAAAACGATCCAAGTGATAAAGTTTGTTGTGTATATTATCATAATTAAAAAGAATGAAAATCCCAGAGTCCCCGAAGAGTAACAAACATTGCAAGAAACTGTTTCAATAAAATATGTGTGAGTACTTATATGTACTTGGTTCCAGAGTACAATGTACTTCTTCATATCAGTCCCAGTCATAAAACTATTGGGAAAAAACTGTCGTAGAGGAAGTTCTGTATACACTCAACCGGTTGACACTCATAAAATAATTCACATCAGCATCGAGAGTAATAGCTGAAAATAATTCAAATGCCCAGAGGTACTACAGTGGATATGTAAACGTAGTACGGTATATTAAGCGATGGAATACTGTATGACAGTAAACGAGATAAGTACATCCAAAGAAAAATAGAGCAAAGTGATATAAAACTCAGAAAAGTAATGATTAAAAGCTTGAAGTCATCAATCCGATTATATCGTTAGGCTCCTGGAATGTTTTAATTTCCTCAGTCAGTGCTCAAAAGAGCATCATGCCAATATTCTGATCTTGTCCCCTGTCACAGTGTCCAGCGCAGTCTCAGCACAGTTTTCATTTTTTTAAAGGGCTGAATGGGGTGACAGTCTGTAGAAGCTGCGATCTGTATCCTTTAGGGGCGACTTCCAAGGATAGCGACAGGCAACGCTCTGTACTGTTCCTTAACCAGCTACTGAATGAATAAACGCACTTTGCCATTCGTTAAGTTTATTCGAATGCTTCACATTTTCGCCCAGAGTCTCTCGGCTTCGGCTCAAAAAGCCTGTAAAGTCGCTGGGCACCCCGTTTCCAGGGCCCGAAGGTAAGGTAGTTTTTCGCCGGGTCTCTACAGTGGGTGAAATGAGTAGAATGCTGGGACGGAGAGAAGGGTGCTTCCCAGGCATCCAGGGGTGAAGATGCCTCAGCCTAGGCCGCCCAGAGGCGGTAGACAAGGTGGCTGCACTACCCGCGAAGAGCGGTCTGACCAAATTTTCGTAACCGTCCCAGCCCAGTGACGTCACCATGCCAGGGTCTTAATTGGAGGAACTGTATTCCGTCTGTTCTCGCGATGTTTCCTCTTCCGGGTCCCAGGCCGGCCTCCCTTCGCCACGACCCGGTAGTCAACCACGTTGTGAGCCGTGGAGACGTCGTAGACTCTACTAGCTTCCGGGACGCGCCGAGATAGCTGCAACTCTACTCAAGACACCCACGGCCACGAGGTTTGGCTCACAGGCACTTTGCCTGCCAGACCCACAATAGCGCGGGACTCTCCGCTGCCCGGCCGGGCGGGTTTGCTAAGGCCGGGTGGAGAGTCCCACCAGTTCCCTGGGGACTGTGAAACTGCTTTCCGGTCGCTTCGGTCTCCATGGAGACTGCCCTTTAACCACTTTTTTCACCTGTCACTTGGACTCCACGTGGTTGGAAATGCCCAGATAGTGTTTGTGGGACTCCGAAGGATGGAGATGGGAGGGAAGCAGCCAGCAGAAGGGAAGCAATAAGTGAGACCCACAAGTAGAATGAATGTGCTGGGCACCTTGTGGCTGCTTAATCAGGACGTTGGCGGGGACGGGGTTTTCCTTACTTGGGGCAGAACCCTACACGTTTAGGGTTCAGTTGAGCACGCATGATTGCCGAGTCTATTTTTGTGTAGTCTTGAGGGTGGCAGAAACATTCTCCTGCACAGTTCACCGGAGAATTATTTTCCCAGTTACCTTCCTCAGTCCCTTCTCACTGTGTGTTGGTCACTTTCCTGGGAAATGAACCCTAATTATTTCCCCAAATCTAATATGTGACTTCAAATTCCTATCCTGTCAGTGACTTTCTAGCGTCCATTTTGATTACTACTTTTGGTTTAAGTGTTGCTCACCTGCCGTTACTGATTTCTTACATGCAAAAGGACAATACATTCTTTAGTGTCAGGACTAACCTGTCAGTTAGCTGTAGAATGTACTTTAGATAACAGGCGGCTTACCCTCCCGCCTTTGAAGGTGTATATCCCTTCTACAGCTTTCTCGCAAATGTTTGCCAATTCATTTGTTTAGTCACCAAATATTTATTAAGCGCCTATCATGTGCCAGGCACTGTTTAGGACTTGAGAGTTAAAACACTGAACAAAACAAAGTTGCTGCCTTTATGAAGTTTACTACTTGAAGAGAAAGAGAATACATAAGAGTACAGATTAGTATAATTTTAGGTAGTGAGAGGGCCTTAAAGAAAGTAAAGGGATAGTGTGTATGTGCCTCAGCAGTCGTTAGGACAGGCTTCTAGGAGGAGGTGGTGTTGGAGCAGAAGCCTGAATAATGAGAAGCTCAGCCTTGCAAAGACGTGGTGGAGTGAGCGTTCTTAGGCAGACTGGGCATAATAAACCCTGTTAGATGGGAGTAAACATTGGGAAGTGCAAAGGATCTTAAGGTAGTAAAGGGTCTTAAGGTGGTAAATAGCAGATTAAGGGCTGAGAGTGTGGTAAGTTTGTGTGTGTGTTGGGAGGTTGAGATGAATAGCAGAGAAAGCCAGAGCCAGACTATTTAAAGCTTTGAATACCGGAGTCTCAACTTTGGATTTTATGAAGGTGTAGCTAGAAGCCCTTGGAAAGTTTTAGGCAGAAAGTAAAAATTTCATTGAAAACATTGAAAAGATGGAAGAGAATGGATTCTTCAGAGGCAGGGGTAGAAATAAGGGGAGCACGTGGGAGGCCGGATCAGGAGTCCAGGACATGTGTGTTGTGTTGTCACCTTCTGCTTGGATATTTCTATGTTGGGAAATTCTGTTTCCAGGTGGATCATTGCTATGTTGGACCACAGAGTTCTTACTTTAATTTGAGCTAAAATATGTCACCGTGAAGTTTGCCCTCTCACTAAGGCTTTTTCTATAAAGTAGCTCAGCAACTATTTTAAGGGATGTGTCCTGTCTTTTCCAGGCTAAACTCTTTTTGTTTAACTGTTCTGTATCCTGAAAGAGTAGCTCTTCCCGACCCCTCAGAGGTCTTGTTGTCCCTTGGAAGGTCCGTTGTTGGGCTCCTTCAAGTGTGCATCCATCCCTGCATCCATCTTCCACGCTCTGCGTGTGGCCTGTCCTCACCTGACTGAGGAATCACGCTCATCTTCGATGTGGCCGGCTTCTCAAGTGGCTCTTAGTAGTCTTGTGCTGTTGGCTGACATACTGGGCTGTTTCAAGTTTCACTTCCTTTTAGCACTTTGTCCTGTATTTCTCTGTGTATATGTGTTTTTCTACTTTAAATACAACATTTTACATTTCTGTTTCATCTTGGTAGACTTCATTTTGCTTATTTTTCTAGTTCACTGAGTCGATTCCATCCTTCAGCTTGTCCTCTCCATTTTGTCTAAGTGCATTATTTTATGTGCTCTGATGTTTACATCATAAACACTGCTAAAAATGCTAAGTACATGACAAAAGCCGTGTGATATCTCCCCAGTGACTTCTTTCCAGATAACATGGAATTATTATTGTGTAGGCTTTGAGTAAGGTTCTTCAGGCTATTATGAAGCCATTGATCTGTTAACTACAAGCAACCTCATGAAAAGTTTCCTTTATATTTTGCTAAAAGCAAGGTAGAGTAGCACCTCCTCCTCTGTCCATCTGACAAGCCTCTGAGGTTAGTTTGGTCCAATTTATTTTTTGAAAACTGTTGATTTCTTTATTTGCTAAGATGAAGGTTTTTTGTATTTTAAAATACAAAGATGTGTTGTAATAGGTAAAAGTAACTTTAGATGATAATAACTTTTCTTGACCTTACAAAAAGGTTTTTTTTCAAGGTCCAAGTCCTTAGATCAGTGATTCTCAACCTGGGGCAGTTTTGCTCCACAAGACAATGTGGGGAAGCATTTTTGGTTATCACAGTTGTTGTGGGGAGAGTGCCTGTGGCATGTAGTGCCAGTGCCAAGAAGAGCTGTAACCGTCCTGCAGAGAGTGGGACCGCACCCCACAGTAGAGGATTATCTGCCTAACACATCAATAGTGTTGGTTTTGAGAAACCCTCTACTAGACAGTGCATTAATGCATTAAACTCTTCTTTCTTTCAGGGACTGCTGTTAATTCTGTTTAAAATGGGTGTAAAGAAGAAGAGAGAAATACAAGTTGCTGCATTGACTGTTCGTCATCAGGACCTCGAAACTTTGAGATGTGGGTGATTTCTGACTTTACCCATTTAATGTATTTTCCAGTTTGTAAGCAGGGTATTTTAATCTCTGAGACCCAAAGCACACAATATTTTTTGATATTTGTTGATTGAAATTGATTGAAGTTATTTTTTGATATTTATTGCCTTCAGTTTTGGATGTCAAATGGTTTTCTTAAATGTCCATCTGAGACTATGTTTAACTTGCTGTTTTGTTTCATAATTTAAAAAATTTTGTAGAGTGCATAATAAAGTTAAACTTGTGTTTACATATTGTTAAATCATGTTTTTTTGTGTATATGTATGTGTGTTGTACAGCTTTTGCTGATGTGGAAGGGAAGAATTTAGCTTCTTTGCTGTTACATTGTGTACAACTCAAGGATGGAGTATCACAAATCCATTATGTTAAACAGGTAAGGCTGAATTGTACATGGATAGATCTTGAGGATTATCAGGTTATTGTAGATTTTTAAAATTAACTGAGCCAGGTATGGTGGCACAGGCCAGTAATCCCAGCATTTGGGAGGCTGAGACAGGAGGATCACTGTGAGTTTGAGGCCAGCCTGGGCTCTGTAATTACATAGCAAGATGCTATCTCAAAAAAAAAATTAATTCACAATTTTTGACTTCAAACATTTAATATTAATTTATCACCAGAGACTTAAATTTTTCCTTTCTGTTCATTGTGTGATATCCTTTTATTTAAAACCTCAGAATACACACTTCTCAAGTGGAGAGATACTAATGGCGAATAAATACATGAAAAAATGTTCAACACCATTAGTCATTCGAGAAATGCAAATTAAAACAACACTGAGATTCCATCTCACTCCAGAAAGAATGGCTATCATCAAGAAATCAACCGATAACAAATGCTGGAGAGGCTGTGGGGAGAAAGGAACCCCATTCCACTGCTGGTGGGAGTGTAGATTGGTGAAACCATTGTGGAAATCTGTAGAGATTCCTCACAAAAGTAGGATTGGAAGTCACATTTAACCCAGCTGTTCCCCTTCTGAGTATTTTCCCAGAAGAATTAAAGACATCATACCACAGTGATATATGTGTACCCATGTTTATAGTAGCACAATTTGTTATAGCTAAATCTTGGAAATAACTCAAATGCCCATCCACTGAGGAATGGATAAAAAAGATGTGGTATTTTTATACAATGGAGTATTACTCATCTATAAAAAAATATAAACTCAAGGCTTTTGTAGGTAAATGGATGCAACTAGAGACCATACTCATAAGTGAAATAAATCAGACCCGCGTGTGTAAACATCATGTCTTCTTGGTGTAGGAACCTGAAAGACTAGGTAAAACTGAAAACGTACAATAGATGATAGGAAAGGGAAAGAAATTGCTCAAAGGAAGGAGTGACTGGGGTGAGGGAAAGAAGAAAAAAGAAAGAAGGAAAACAAAATATAAATATATATATGAGTGGCTGCGATAACTGTATTGCTGATGTCTGATGGTGTATTGAAATGAACAGTTAATGCTTACAATTTTTTATGTTCTTATGGATTTTGCATGCTTATGTCTGGTAATCTGAGCACCTGATTTGTAGGTCACAATATGCAGTGGAATTACAATGGTGAACTCCTACCATCTTGTCTAGTGAAACTCTGTATTAACTCTAATGTTTTATCTAATAATTATTTTCTTATTCTCATTAATGGTTTGAGCAGTCTTCCATTCTTATATCTGGTAATCTGAGCAATGTAGTTGAGGATAGCGATATGTAATGTAACAACCACTGTTAATTCATATTATTTTGTCTTGAAACCCTGTATCACTTTAAATGTTCTTGCTTTGATTTGTTTATGATTGTGATACTGGTATGCTGCTATTGTTCTATTTTTTTGTTTATCTGTTTCTCATTTACTACTCTCTTTACAATTAAAAAAAAAAAAACACCTCAATAGAAACCATATTCAGGCTTCCACCATAATTAGAATAGTAAATCGATAGGATAGGAAATAATTATGCATTTTTTGTGGAGATAAATTTTTAAAAGTTACTTCTATTAATTTAAAGCCTCACAACTCTTTAGTAGGCAATTTAAAAGTTAATTTAAAATATAAAGATTGTCCTTATTGGTATTTCAAAATTTGTATTTATCATTTGAGCTTGCATAATACATTTTTAGAAAAGCAATTAAATGTGTAACTGATTTTTAAAGACTGCCACAGACTTGTCTATAAGCTAATAATAGGTCTGTGATTCTCAGTGGAGATCAGTCTGGAAGGTAAGGAGAGAGATAGGGGCATGAATTAAAAAGGTTGATAAGTGGTGAAATAGGTGTTTAAATTAGTATCCTTAACAATGTAGCATGGAAAAAATTTCACTGTATAATTGAGACTTAAAAGAGTATTTGTAGCCATGTTACAATACTGTACTTATATTAGAAAACATTACTTTCAATATTTTTGCATTATAGATTGTGCCTTTACTGGAGAAGGCAGATACAAATGGTGTGTGTGATCCGGCTATTCGGAGCTGTTTGGACATTTTAGCAGGCATTTATTATTCTTTGAGTCTAAAGAACCCCTTGAAGAAAGTACTGGCAAGGTAAGGATAACAAGGAAGGAAAGTCGGGTGTTAGAAAAACTAACTAAGGCTCCTTTCCTGTTTTGATAAAACTGAACTGAGATATATCCTTAAAAATTTCATTCATATAATTTTTTCTTTGTTTCTCTTTATCTATCTATCTTTCTATCTATCCATCCGTCCATTTCTTTAGAAATGTAAAAAGCCTTCTTCGATCACAGGCCTTAAAAAGTAGGCAATGTGGGCTTTGATCTGTGGGCCATAATTTGCTAATTTTTTGTTTCAATCTGTCATCTTGGTACTTTTTTTCTCTATTTCTGCTAGCTGTTCTGACACATGTAATATGAGAATACATAGTTGATGCAAAAGTTTCAAGCAGTATTGAAGTGTACCCAATGGTGAGGCATGTATTTCATCATTTCTGGCCTTTCTCATTTTCCTTAAAAGGTTGTCACTTAATATTTTGGGATCTTTCTTTCTTGACCTTTCCTTTGGGCTTAGCAAAAGTTTGTTCTGTTTTAGTCTTTATTTTTTTTTTTATGTATATAAATGTGGTCACACTCTACATAATGCTCTTTGGCTACTTTTTTTTTTAAACTAAAGAACATCTTAGAGATAGTTTCATCCTGGTATAGTCCTTTTAGAAAATTGAAGCAAAAACCACAGACCTTAATATTTTCCTTCCTAAGTGTATAGTAGTATTAAGTGTATTTATATTGTTTTACAGAGGGTTTCTAGAACCTGTTCATTTTATAAAACTGAAACTCTGCACTCATTAGCAACTCCCCAGTTTTTCCTTCCCTAGCCCCTGGCATTTTGTTTTCTGTTGCATGTCTATAATCCCTGTACTCTGGGAAGCTGAGGTAGGAGGCTCACAGTTTGATCCCAGCTCGGTAATTTGGTGTCTTATTGAGAGATCCTGTCTCAAAAAAAAAAAAGAGGAGATGTAGCTCATTGTGAAGGCCTTGAGTTCAATCCTCAGTTCTAGGAAGAAATAAAAATTTAAAAATTGGTTACTTTAGGAACATAAGTGGAATATTTATCTTTATGTGACTGGCCTGTTTCATTAAATATAATGTCTTCAAGATTAATTGGTGTTCTAGCATGTGACAGAATTTCTTTCCTTTATAAGACTAAGTAATATTCCATTGTATATCTGTATACCACTCTTCTTTGTTCTCCACTGAGGGGCTTTTGGGTTGCTTCTACCTGTGGGCTGTTGTGATTGGTATTATCGTAAACGTGTGCAAATATTTCTTTGAGATCATGCTTTCACTTCTTTGGATGCATATTCAGAAATGGGGTTGCTGGATTGTGTGGTAATTCTGTTTTTAATTTTCTAAGGAACTGCTATACTGTTGCCATGATGCAACATTTTACATTTCTACCAATAGTTTTTTTTTTTCCTAAGAGGTTTCAATATTTCATATTATGGATATACCAAAATACATATCATAGTATATCTTAAATGGTTTATTTAATCATTTCCCCATTGAAAGATAGTTTTTAAGTGCTGCAGTAGTTATCTTAATTATCTGTGTAATTATGTGTGTGTTTTTATGTGAGAGAATTCATTTAGGTAGGACCAAAAGTAATACTTATTAAATTTTTTATACATATGTTAAATTGTATATCCCAGAAGCTATTCCAGTTTATGCTTTTACCAGCAGTATAGTATGCTTTTTTTAAAGATCTTTCTAGCACTTGTAATTCTTTCCTTCCTTCTTCCTTCCCTTCTTTCTCTCCCTTCCCTCTTTTTGTGTTAGTGGGGATTGAACCCAGGACCTTCATGCTCACCTGCATCCCCAGGCCTTTTTATTTTTAATCTTTGAGACAGGGTTTTGCTGTGCCCAGGCTGGGCTTAAACCTGCATTCCTCCTGCCTCAGCCTCCCACAATGCTGGTATTCTAGGCATGCACCATCATGCCCAGCTAATATCATCTTTAGATGTTTTAGAATCTAAAGATGTGACATGCTATCTTGTTATAATTTGCACTTCCCCAATTACTAGTAAGAGCGAACTTTTTCTTTTGTGTGTGTGTGTTTTTTGAGACAGGGTCTCACTATGTAGTTCAAGCTGACCTTAAACTCACTATGTAGCTCAGGCTGGCCTCGAACTCACAGCAATCCTTCTGCCTCAGCTTCCCCAGTGCTGGGATCATAGGTGTGTACCACCATACCTGGCTAGAATGAACATTTTTAATGTGTGGAGTTTGACTATCTTAATCATTGCATAGACTTTGTACATTTTCTTGCTAGTATCTTTTCTTGACTTACAAGAATTTTATATGGAATGTGTGTAAAATTATTCCTTGACTTTCCTACTTTAGACTATCTTGATGATGTCTTAATAAAAATAAAAATTTTCTTGTTATCAGTTCTACTGATAATCTTCTTTGTGTAGATTTCTGAACTTCATGCCTTGTTTTGGTGTGGTTTCTTTAACGCAAGATTATTCAAAACTGTTTGCTTATCTTATAATTTTGTTGTTGTTGGACTTGTGAATCCATCTGGAATTAAGTTTTGAGTATAGTGTAGTAATGACATAGAAGTCACTTCACCCCCAACTGTGGATAGCCCATCTTTCTGTACATATTTAGGATGTCACCACTGTTATTTGTTTCAGTGTAAACATGGAGTTGATGGATTTTAGACTTGTTAATATACTGACCCCACATTATATATTTACTGGAGTTTGATGGTATGGTTTAATTAGTTAGTGGAGTAAGTTACTTCTCTGCTGACTCTTTTTAAAAATATTCTAATTTTGGGGGCTGGGGATTTAGCTCAGCGGCAAAGCGCCTGCCTGGCAAGTGCAAGGTCGTGAGTTCGGTTCCTGGTACAGGAGAAAAAAACCAAAAAAAAAAATTCTAATTTTTGATTTTTTTCCCCCAGAAAACCTTTAAATGGTTCAAATTTTTAAGAAGCCAAGTAGGTTTGGCTTAGATTAGAGGTAAAACTTATGCAAGTAATTTATCCATTTAGTAATTTTTTATTGTCTGCACACTGTGTGCCAAGTACTCTTGTAGGCGTTGGGGATATAATGAATAAAACAGTCTAGAGTGGGGTTGCATTCCAAGAAGATAGAAACTAGACAAAATAAGTGCGCAGCACCTGCAGGACGTTAGCTTATACTAGAGTTACGGAGAAAAGAAAGCAGAGGGGAGAAAGAGAGCCGAGAGCGGAGAGAGTTAGTGTGAAAGGGGGTCCCTGCACATATGCTTCACTCGGAGCGAATGAGGGTGTGTCTGCGGTTGACCCTCGAAGTCTGGGGCAGTGATTATTGGGTATTTGAGAGAAGTGTTCAAGTGAAGGAGGTACTGTCATACGCACGAAGACTTTGGCATGTTATCAGGACAGGAGATGGGAAGGCCATATAGCTAGAGTTAAGCGAACAGATCACAGCTAAAGGGGAGGGCAGATTGCACAGGGCCTTTAAGTCACTGTAAGCTGTCTTCGTTGGTGTGCACTTACGTTGAAGTTGTGGCTGGCTTTTAGGCAGATGGTTGCGCCTCCATATCTGTGAGTTCTGCATTCAGCCAAGCATGTATCAAAAATATTTTAAAAATTGCATCTAAACTGATTATGCACAGAGTTGTTTTCCTTGTTATTACTCCCTAAAAATATAGTGTTTATATTACATTTATGTTCCATGAGGTATTAAAAGTAACCTAGGGGTGATCTGAAGAGTGCAGGAGACTGCACAGATTGTGATAGGAGACTTGACTGTCCTTGGACTTTGGTATGGGGGGTGTTTCTGGAATCAGTCCCCCTGAACCCTGACAGATGACTGTGGCGTGGTGTTTTAGTATCACCCCTCCGGCTGTTCTGTTGAGTACAGACTGGGAGCTAAGAGGGAGGCAAGATGGAACCAGGAAGACCAGATGCGAAATGACAGACCAGGAGTTCCCACGGTGTGGTGTGAAGTTGTAGTTATGAAGAGTTAGTTCACTATTCATAAATTTGTATGAGTCTCCTTCCCCACATACCTGTTGGTACAGACTTTTTAGGTTTTTAATATTTCCTTCTTTTTCCAGCTCACTAAATGGCTTACCTGAATTTTTTCAAACTGAGGCTATACACAGTTTTACTTCTCATCTTGAAGAAGAATTGAATACTACTGATCTGTACTCTTATAGGAAAGTAGTTGACAATATATCTTCCTGTATGGAGAATTTTGACTTGGGTAAGCCAGTACTTTTCTAGTAGGTTTTCTGACTAATACTGTCATTAATCATTATCATTAAATGGTGTCTATTTTAGTGAACCTCCTTACCAGTGTTTTTTTCCCTTATAGGTAGAGCAAGTGTTAATAATCTGCTTCAAAATGGTAAGTCCTATTATTTCATTTTGTTCTGAGCAGTGACTGCTTGTGTGAGTCTTTTTGGAGCTGGCTCTTTACATTTCTTAGGATGGAGTGGAGTACTGCAGACACCTAAAGTACATCATGCTCCTTCTTATAATTTCAGCTGTCTGTTATGACAGTCATTTTAGGTAACTGATTTAAAATACTCAGTTTTAAGTTCTGACTTGTCATTGTATTCTTTTTCTTTCAGTGCTTCATTTTCTGTGGAAGAGTTTAATTGAAATCCTGGAAGAAAATAGGCAAGTGCTGTATTTTTGCATGCCGCTTGTGTGTGTGTAAGTGCACACTTGCAGTTGTGTCTTGTCTCTGTACGAAGTAAATTCTCAAAAAGGCCTCAGATTGTGTTGTTTTCTGTGTAGTTTCTGCCCTTCTTGATTAGTAGTAGACCTGATTATTTAAGTTTGTTTTCTACTTATTTGCTATGTAATTTTAATAGGTCAAGTAAATTTCAGTGAGAATTAGTGAGAAAGGGAAGAGCTCTTTCCCTCACCTTGGAGTGTTCCTTCTCTTTTGAATGCTGTCTTATTCATGGGTGTGGTTTCCTGTACTGCCTCTCTGAAGATATTAATGTTAGTTGATTTTTGTTTGTTTGTTCACTTAAAGTTTTATTATCTTTACATGGTTTCTGTTTCTTATAAGTTGCTTTTTCTCCATGCGCTGGGTTTGGTCACTACGTTTCCTGCTAGAAATTTTCCTCAGAAGTCTAGTGGTCCTTGACTGGGTATTCATACTTGAGAAACATGGCACTGAGAATAGATCTGGGTGTTAGTCAGCTGTCCCATCTCTGGGACACAGTGCCCGACAACCACAATTTAAAAGCAGGGAGGTTTAATCTGACTCTTGGCTTCGAGGATTCATGGTCAGCTGGCTCCAAGGCAGAAACAGCGCGGCAGAAAGGCTTGGTGGCGGAAAGCTGTTTAATTCATGGCAGTGAGGAAGCGGAGAGTGAAGGGAGGACCACTTTCCAGAGGCACGCCCCCAGTGTCATACCTCTGTCACGCAGGCCCTACCTCCTAACAGCACATTTACCCGTGAACTCATCAATGGATCAGTCTTCTAATGAGTATCAGGTCCCCATGATCCAGTCACCCTCCAAGGCCCCAACTTTGAACATGCCTTTTGGAGGTACATTCTAGATCTAAACTGTAATAACGGGGTTGACTGCAGGTTTTACTTTAGTGCTAGTCTAGCTGGACTGTTTCTTGGGGGAACTCTGTATGTCAGTGTCTTTAGTTCTCTGCTTGGGTGGTAGATTTGTCAAGGAAGAATCGTCCAAACCATTGTGTTCATATTCTCTTTGCGGAGGGCCAAAAGCTGAAGCTTGGTGTTTGGCATCCACTGTGTGTATATTTACCTAACTCTCCTGTTTGCAGTGTGGCATTACTGCCTTGTCCATGTGTGCTGTTTTCCTTCCAGACACTTGTGCTGTTTGTATTCTCTAAAGGTAGGCCGGTTATCCTGGCTTGGGGGTATGATTCAGAGTTTCTTCTTTTGAAGTGAACTTCTGGGCATTTTTCCTGTTTCAGCCCTGCATTTTCCTCCACATCAGGCATACTTACTGCCCATAGTTTCCGAGTGCTTGGGGGCTGTCGACCAGGTTGTGTCTAGGCTTGTTCTCTGGCTTAGTATTCACCTTCTTGATTCTGCTAAGTCAGTTACCCCTTATCCATCTCTAATATAACTTCTAGAATATTATTGCTGTTGTCTTGCTGCTTGTTTGTTGCTCTTGTATGCTTGTGTCTTTTTGCTTTAACTCCCATTGCTGCTGGTTTAAGGAGGTGAAGAAGGGAATAGAAGTAAATCGGATGCTGTCTTTGATTCGAGGTCTCCTGCCTCCCCGGGAGCTCCTTCTCTGTTGTCTTTATGTTTCTTCCTTGGCTCATCACCAATGTGTGGTCTAATCTTTTTTATTCTGCTTGTATTATGTGCCAGTTAGTCTTAATTGCCAGTTTGACTGATTAAGAGAGTCATGGAGGTTGACTGGATCTTGGGGGTGCTCTACTTACCAGGGGGCTAGTCCACTGACGTTCATCACTGAATGTGCATATAGGGTGGGGCCTGGTTGGAGGTGGGTCACTGGGGTGTGCTTTTGAAGATCTCTTATGGTGCTCTTCCCCTGTGCTGTGCTTCCTGGCTGCCAGGAAGGAGCTTTGTTCCACCCTTCCCTTCTACCATGCTCTCTTGAAGCCAGCTGACCATGGACTGAAATCTCTGGAAGGGTAAGCCACGTAAGCCTCTCTTCCTTTGAGCACTATGTGTCAGACATTTTGTCCCAGCAGTGGGAAAACTGACCAGTATGTGCTTAAAGTCATCATTTCTTTGGTGGCAGCCACTGCCTATCTATTCAAGATTCCCGGGATTGTCACTCCAAGTTGGAGCTTTTCCTTGAATGGTAGATTCATGTGGTCACTTGTTTCCTAGATGCTTCATGTTGGATATTTTATAGTTGCCTCAAATTCAGTGTGTCCAAAAGAAAATTGGTTGTCTTTTTATCCTCTATAGTGCCTGGTAACATCTAATTTTTGTCTCTTTGAATTTGCCTATTCTAGGTACTTTGTATAAATAGAAACATAATCTTTGTTCATTTGTGCCAGGTTATTTCAATTATAATATTTTCAAGATTTATGTGTGTGGTAGTATGTATCAGAATTTTATTGTTTTTTATGGCTGAATATTATGTTATATGTATATGCTATATTTTGTTTATTCCTTCATCTGTTGACGGGGATTTAGCCTTTTTCTATCTTTTGGCTATTGTGAATGTATTACTTTAAACATTAATATAAAAGTATTTGTTTGAAATCCTATTTTCACTTCTTTTGGGTACGTACCTAATAGTGGAATAGCTGGATCATGTGGTAATCCTATGCTTGACATTTTAAGGAACTCTCAAAGTGCGTTTTCTGACTTGTGTTTTAGTAATAGGATCAGTCTGTGTTCTCCTGTGAAAAATAGACTGGGAAATGCAAGGATAGAACTGAGAGACCAGTTGGAAGCTGTTGCAGTAATCTGAGGGAGAGATGAGAGTCCTCAGGCCAAGTGGTAGCAGTGAAGGCGGTCTGAGTGTAGATACATTTTGAAGGCAGAGCCAGCAGAGTAGTCTTACAGAGGAGAAGAAGAGGACAGGAGGTGGGGATGATCGTAATGTTTTTTGTAGGTAGAGAGTCCAGCAGGTGGAATAGTTTTGGAGTTGAATATAAATTAAGATTTGTTAGACATTAAGCTAGGTATACAAATCTGGGATTGGAGATGTCTGAGTTGAAGATAAAAATTCAGAAATGATTAGCATATAGATTATAATTTAGAAATTGTGAGTCAGATGAGCTCAGCATTGGGGAGAGAATTGATGGCAAGAAGAAGAGGGTTAAAGACAGTTCTGCAGGGCTCTGACAAAGAGGCTGAGGAGGGCTAAGGTTGTAGCTCAGTGGTAGAGCAACTGTTCAGCACATATGAGGCCCTGAGTTGTCTGGGAAGAAGCGAGTTGAGAAAACTGCTACCACCTTGGCAAGAGCGTGGCATGTTGGTGCCCAGGTGAGGAAAGTCTGTTAAGATTGAGGGAATGTTCAAGTTTGGAAATAGGTTTTTTTTTTTTGGTACCGGGAATTGAACTCAGAACTTCGTGTTTGCCAGGCAGAGGCTGTGCTGCTGATCTAAATCTCTGGCTTGTAAATTGTATCATTCTGTTCTTCCCTCCCCTCCCTGCCCTCTTCTCCCTTCCTTTCTCATTTTCCTGAATTCCTTATTCAACCTAAAATAAGAAGTGAGAGTGAGGTTAGTCATTGGCTAGGAAAGATAGACCTGTTGAGAGTGTTGGAAGTTTGCAATAATGTCTACATTATTGGAATATTTATGCAAATAGAAGTAGAGGCATAAACGTCCAATATAATCAAAAATTGATTTTGGTGATTTGGTTGAGGAATACGTTTATTTTGGAGAGGGCTGGGAATGATGACACTTTTATTTGAATTTTCTATGTAATCATGTCTTTTCTTCTTTGTAGAAAGTTTGCTGGAAATCATATTGTTCAAACGCAGTTGATGAATGACTTGTTGGTAGGCATTAGAGTTTCAATGACATTAGTGCAGAAAGTGCAAGATTTTCAAGAGAATCTTTGGAAAGCTTCTAGTTCTCCCATATGGCAAAGTATGTGTGGCTTGCTGGGTATTTTCACCAAGTTTTTAAGTGATGGTAAGTATCCAATGGTTATGTTGAGTATTAATCAGCTTTTCCTAGTAAAAGTATGAAGTATATTTAGCTAAGTTGTAGAACTTCCTTTTTCTCAGCCTCTTAAAAAGTGGGGAAAGGTTGTAAATTACGTGGTTTTAATGCTTTTTTTCCTTCAAATGACTAGTTTAGCAAGAGATAATGTTGAACGACTTTTCTAAGTTTGTGCGTGTGTTGTGTGTTGTGTTCACAGAAAAGAACCCATGAATTCTTAGTGCTGAAAGCCATAGACTTTAAGTAGCAAAAGAAAAGACTGCTTCTTTAGAAGCAGTCAAGACAAGGTCTAGAAAGATTAGCGTAGTTCATACTTTTTTCCTTAGCAACACCTGTTATCTTCAGATAATGACAACAGTTGATTGTGAGCCTGGTCATATTCTTTTTTATATCTCATATGTAGCTTTTGTCTGTATGAATTGTACACTAAGAAACCAAATAGATGCAGGGAAATTTCTCTAAGGAATTAATTGAAATGAAATTATATAGTATCACCATTTTGTAACCCTCTGATTTGATGTAGGCAGCATTACACACTAGCAATTGGTAACTTACAGAAACAGGAAAAACCAAGTAATATGTGCCTGAGTGTTGCAGCAGCTGTCATCTTCCCAAAGGGATCAAATTTGAAAAGGATCCTGTCTCTGGGTTGGCTTTCAATTTGCAGGAAATACGGAAGACGGAGGGATACTATGTTGAACTGCATCAGGAATCCAGACTGGGATGCTCTGTAGGCCAGAGTTCTTCAACAGAGAGATCGCAGTGAAAGGAGACAAAGGGGCCCACGTGTAGATCAGTGGCATCTAAAAGACATTTAAAAAATCAGAACAACTATAGTGTCTAACAGTGCACATTTAGTTGATAAAACTATTGAAAACTGTGAGGAAATTGTTAGCTGGAAGTCAGGGTGGTGCTTACCCAGAGTAAGAAAGAGGGCTTGGGAAAGGGTGGTACGTGAGTTAACCTTCAGGGATGGGTGGCCAAGTTCTCTTTCATGGATGGTAAGTGTAGGACTCATTATCTTGTGTAATTTATTAAGCTATGAGTTTTGGATCTTTTTTTATATCTGTTCTTTGTATTATAGTAGTGTTAACAAAAGTGATACCTAAGACATAAGTACCTCCATAAAAATTAAATTATCCTTTCTCTTTTCACCTCCAATTCTATGTGGTAATGCATATATAAATTTAACATAATTTTGTTAAATTTAATTAATTTTTTGAGACAGAGTCTTGCTGAACAGTTCAGGATGACGTGGAACTTATTATGTAGCCCAGACTAGCCTTGAACTCACAGCAATCGTCCTGCCTCAGCCTCCTAAGTGTGGGGTTTCAGGCATGTACCACTATGCCCAGCCAGAATTTAATATAATTTAAAAAACTGTTAATGGGCTCTATTTAGAGCTTTTTTTTTTTTTTTTTTTTTTTTTTTTGTAAACAGTAATCAACTCTTAGTTTTGTAAGCTGATTGGGATAAAATAGTGTCTTGTTTATGTTTTTAACTGTAGTAACTAGTAAAAGTCCTAGTATATTATTGTCCAGTTATTATTTCCATTTTTCTTTTTGCCTAGGATCTCAGGTAATATTAAAAAAAAGAAAGGTAAATTAATCAGTTATATTTATTTATTTATTTATTTATTTATTTATTTATTTTGGTCTTTTTGAGACAGGGTCTCGCTATGCAGTTCAAGCTGGCCTTGAGCTCCCTTTGTAGCCCAGGCTAGTCTTGAACTCACAGTGATCCTCCTGCCTCAGCCTCCCAAGTGCTGGGATTACAGGTGTGCCCGGCAATCAAAGTTATTTTTTAGACATAACTTATATATAGTTTTTAAGAGGAGTTTTCTTTGGCGGGGGCGGGGGGGTACTTGGAATGGAATCCCATTCACACTGACCTATAACCCTATATATTTTTATTTCATATTTTGAGACCAGGTCTGGCTAAATTGCCCAGACTAGGATCAAACTTGGGATCCTCCTACTTCAATCTCCTTGAGTGCTGAGATTATAGACATGTACCACCATGCCTGGGTAGGATTTTTGATTTTATTAAAATAGAATTTGTTAATCTAACAAACAAAACAAACAAAAAAACCCTGAATACTTCTGTGAAATACAGAGAATACATGAATTTAATAGGAAGTAGTTTCTTTTCTGAAAAGTTGATGGCACTCAATGTTCTCCCAGATTTTAAAGCTTTATGTATCAATTAAATGTCTAGCTATAGGAGAAAACCAGACTTCAGAAACGAAAGCGGATGTGCTTCCTCTTGCTTCCCGTATAACCAGAAGTTCTGCGGCAAGTAATCCAGAGTTGCTGTAGATAGTGCAGGACCCAAACATTTTCTGCCTTTCTGGTTTGGTAGTTTTAGCATGTTGGCTTTCACCTATGTGTTTGTTGCCTCATGTTTGCTCTATGTAGCTCCCGACATCATGTCTGTGTTCTTTCCTTTTAATTGGGAAAGACAGAGGCACATGGGCTGGCCTGAACTCTATCATAGGACTACCTTTAGTTGCAAAGAAGATTAAGGAATTGCGTGTCTTTTTTTGGCACATGACTGCCCCGTGGTCAGTTTTGTTATGAGGGGATGAAGGGCAGAATGGATATTTAGTGGATAATTCGTGGTGTCTTTCATACTTCTTAGTCCAGCTTGAATAAATCACCGTATTATCGGGCTAAAGGAGATAGACAAAAAGAAGGTAGATATCTAGTCAAAATTACTTGCTTTGAGTGCAGTGCCAGTGATAGCACTGTGATTAACCCTGATATAGCTTCTTTACATAGGTCCTGAAAGCTCTTTAAGAAGAGTATTTGCCTGTGAGTTGAGATACAGAGGCATCGGTGGAGGGCAGGGAACAGGTGTGTTGCCAGTAGGTGTGTTGAGAGGTGTTGATGGAGAGGAACAGAGTAGATGAGGGAGGAGAGAGGAAAGACTCACATTTATTATCTATCTATACCTTGGGCTTGGAAGCCTTCATGTTCATTGTTCGTTTAAGCTTACAGCTTATCGGGTGGAGTTATATTTTCCCATTTTACAGTAGAGAAAGTGGAGCTACCTGGAGGTTAGTAAATAACATGTCTCAGACCTACTCAGCTAGGAAGTGGTCTAGCTGGAAACTACACAGGACTCTGACTCCAAAGCATCTACTTTTTCCACTGTCTGGAGCATCTGTGCTTTAACACATGCTCTCTGCTTTTTTGCCAAATAGATGACCTACTACAGACAATTCAGAGTACTTCTGGATTAGCCGTTATTCTTTTTATTAAGACTATGTTTCAGCCGTCTGAAAATATTCCTGAGTTGGTGAGTATATCTCCTTTTTAGAATGGTACTTTATTGAGGATTAGATATATGTTTAAAAAACTTTGTTTTTTCTGTGTTGCCAATTGAACCCTAGGTAAAACATATTTTTAAAGTGAATTAAAGTTTGTCTTTTTGGCACAATGGATCTTGTTTTGGTGATGTTCTCATATAAAGATAATTCCAAAAATGAAAGACAGTAACAGTCACTTGAAAGCCTATCTCAAAGATTATTACTATTGGTATCTTGGGTATATATACTTCTAGTTTTTTGTAGTGTTGTTTAGTTCCATTTCTCAGTATCATAAAAGGTATTTATAAGGCTAAAATTATGCAGTGATTAATGTGTAGATATATACACAATAATGTTTCTGATAACTATATTTTTTAGTAATAATAACTCAAATCATACACCTTAGGATAGGAAGCATTGCTGACTTTAATTCTTTAGTGAATTTGAGTCGTATAGAAAATATAATTTGATAATTTAGATCACAGTTGTACATTTACTACTAGAAGTTCTTTTTTCCACTTGCTGTATTATTTGGAAATTTATTTTATCCTTTTACTGTTACAACATTATACAGAATACATGTATACTATTCTGAGTTCACAGAAAGTAACTGGGTAAAATTGAAAATTTTTCTCAAATCACCTCTAAAAGCCAGTAAGCTACAGGTCACGTGTTGTGCTGTACTAGTACTTTCAAATCAGCAAAAAATTTATATACTTGGATTTAATTTTTTTGTTTTAATATTAATATTAGTATAGCAATTTAATGTTTCTGGCTGCCTTACCATTGTTTTTCCTAGGATATTTCAGGGGACAGGGATTTTTGGATTTACATTCTGAAATACCTCTTGAAAAGCTTTAGACTTTATATCCATTACTTCTGCTGTATTTTTCCAGATTAGCAGTTTACTTCTCCGTTCCGTGGACTGCGCCAGGGTCCCAGAGTGGTTGATGAGCAGCTGCAGGAGCCTGTGCTGTGCTGACATCCCTCCCTCTGCTCTCCTATTCCTGTGTCAGGGGACACTGGCAATGCTGGACTGGCAGAACGGCAGCATGGGCCCCGGCGGGGAGACCCTGCTCTTGGATACTGTGCACGTTTTGTTCACCCTGAGTTCACAGTGAGTTGTGACTTCGCTGTCTTACATTTTGTTTGCTTGTAAGACATTTAAAAGATGTCTTGAGGGCTGGGGAGACAGCTCAGCAGCACACTACCTGCCTGGCAAGTACACGGTCCTGAGCTCGATTCCTAGTACCCATAAATAAGTAAGTAAGTGCGTAAATAAGTAAATAAAAAAGATGCCCCAAGCCAACATGATAATTCAATGAAAAGTGATTAGGAGAAATCCTAATTAAAAGTGACATATGCGTGGGGAAAAAAAAAGGAATGTGAAAGAGAATATGGGATGAAGAGGGAGAGAGAGAAAGTTATAGAAATTACTCGTACAGGTTAATCTGTAATGAACACTTCTAAAATTAATTTTAATTCTCAGTCTCTGTGCTCCATTTTTTAAAGCTTGGAAAACTTGAGGTGAAGTATGTAGCTCGGTGGGTTCAGTGCCCACCAGGTTCAATCCCTAGCATCAAAAACTAACAAGCAAAACACAACTAAAAATTTCTATATTGGCCTCCAGGCATGGTGGCACATACCTGTAATTCCAGCACTTGGGAGGCTGAGACAGGAGGATTACTGTGAGTTCAAGGCTAGCCCCGGCTACATAAGACCTTGTCCCCCCAGTTTTTTTCTACATGTGTAGTATTTTAGAATTTATAAAGGACTTCAACATAGTATACGATCGTCACATGCCTGATAGATGAGTAAGAAATCTAGTTGGTGGGACTGGGGAAATTAAACTTAGAAAAGTAAACGCTTACCTATAAGCATATTTCTAGTAAAAGCCCGAGCCAACAATTGTAATAAGGTCTCTGGCTTCACAGAGCTGTGTTTTGTGTTTTTTTGGTGTTTTTGCCATAATGGCTGAAAATGATCATCTATTTAAAATGTCAAATGCTAGATATATTGATAATAATGAGGACTACAAGTGATGCAAAGAAACCCACAGTGTTCTAAAAGAATTTTTAATATGTTGGGGCTATGCTTTATATACTGTCCATTTCACATATTTACAACGTGCACTTCAGGTTTTTGTATTTTTAATATGTTCACGGAGTTCCTTAACCATTGTCATAATCAACTTCGTGGATATTTTCATCATTCTAAAAAAAAAGTTCCCTCTGTCTTCCTCAACCCTTGGACCTCAGTATGTTTAAAAACACTTGTGAGGGGCTGGGGATTTAGCTCAGCAGCACAGCGCCTGCCTGGCAAGTGCAGGGTCGTGAGTTCGATTCCCGGTACCAGGAAAAAAAAAAAAACCCAAAAAACACTTGTGAAACAGCCATTTTCACAATGAAGATGGAGAATATTTCTTTACAATTTTTTTTTTTTTTTGGTTTTTCTCCGGTACCGGGAACCGAACTCACGACCTTGCGCTTGCCAGGCAGGCGCTTTTGCCGCTGAGCTAAATCCCCAGCCCGAAGATGGAGAATATTTCATTCATCCCCACCAAATATCCGTGTTCTTTTTTGGATTATTTTATACAAAGTGCAAAGATTCGTACACAAATTTGAGGTCTATTTTGGCTTTGTTTGTAATTTCTTTTGTTGTAAATTTAGTAATAATTTCGTTTTCTGTTCATTGTTTGCATTTAATGTTTCTTTTTTTTGTTTTTGTTTTTCTCCGGTACCAGGAACCGAACTCACGACCTTGCGCTTGCCAGGCAGGCGCTTTGTCGCTGAGCTAAATCCCCAGCCCGCATTTAATGTTTCTAATGTCTGATTACAAAATGAAATTTCTTTTCGTAGTTGGTTTATAAAAATATGGCTCCTGGTTGGTTTTTCTTTAGGATTAAAGAATCAACACTGGAAATGTTTCTGTCTCGAATCTTGGTGTTGTGGACAAATTCAGCCATACATATCCTTGAGTCAAGTTCCCCAGCCCTGAAGGACAGTCTGAATGGAAACTCAAGCATCGTGGGGAGACTTTTGGAATATATCTATACCCACTGGGAACATCCATTGGATGCTCTGAGACACCAGACCAAAATCATATTCAGAAATCTTCTCCAAATGCACCGGCTCACTGTGGAAGGGGCAGATTTGGTCCCCGATCCTTTCTTTTTGGAACTGACTCAGATTCTCCTGCGATTGGAATGGCATATTAAAGGAAAGTACACATGCCTTGGCTGTTTGGTAGAATGCATAGGAATTGGACATATTTTGGCAATAGATAATACTATTCCATCTCAAATCTTAGAGGTGATGGGGGACCAGTCGTTGGTACCTTATGCAAGCGACCTCTTGGAAACCATGTTTAAAAATCATAAGAAGCATCTGAAATCCCAGACTGCTGACAGCACTTGGATTGACCAGTGGCATGAGACTTGGGTTTCTCCTCTCCTTTATATACTGTGTGAAGGAAACTTGGATCAAAAATCTTATGTGATTGATTATTACTTGCCAAAATTATTGAATTATAGCCCTGAAAGCTTAAGATACATGGTAAAGATTCTTCAGACTTCTATTGATGCTAAAACTGGTAAGAAAAATTAATTTTTATTTTAATAATTTCTAGTTATGATGTTTAAATGTGGGCACCCAGGCAGATATTAATCATATTCAAATTTAAATATTACCACTTCTATATATGGTAAAAGAAGATATTAATGATAGCTATTTCTTTTTTTTTTTTTTTGGCTTTTTTTGAGACAGGGTCTTACTGTGCAGTCCAGGCTGGCCTTATACTCACTTTGTAGCCCAGACTGATCTCGAACTCACAGTGATCCCCCTGCCTCAGCCTCCTAAGTATTGAGATTACATCGCATGTGCCACCATACCCAGCAGCTACTTCATATTGAAACAAATGTTCCTATACATACTTGAGTAGAGTGTTTTTTGGCTGAAATCATTTTTGTAGCTCAAAGAGTGATTCCAGTTAAGGAATCCAGATAACCTTTATTCCAAGGTTATGATTGCCAGACTGGAGTAAAAGTGTGTGTACTTTGCATAATTTGCTTATCAAGTGATTGAGGCAGTCATTAAAAATTGTTTTAGACAAATTTATTTAATTTTATTTTGTTTTAGGCAAATTTAAAGACTGATACATTGGCAGTAGCAATTTTTATCTCTGGAGAATAGATAAAATCTAAAGAAACAGTTATCTGTAGTCATTTAGAATATGGGTAAACATTCCATTGAAACTCAGTAACCCTGAAGGAATCACTGCATAAAAACATAACTAATGTGGAAAATGATCCTTCTTACCCATTAAGTAAATCTTCAAATTATACTGTTTAACAGTGCAAGGATGTGGTGTCCTTCACCACAATTTAAGAAGTATTTGCAACTTAAATGACTAAAAATCTTTAGTATATCAACAAGTAACCAGAGGGCGATAGAAAAACGTGATCTCTCTGTACAGAAAAAATCATTATTATTATTATTTATTTATTTTAAAGAGAATAAATAAAAACAGTAAAAATGACACAGAATTTCAAAACAAGATGTTAGGAAACTAGCAATGGTTGTTATATTGCATATTGTTATTTTCAAAGTAGTTGCTCTGGGCCGGGGATATAGCTCAGTGGCACAAGTGCCTGCCTGGCAAGCCTAAGGTCCTGAGTTCGAGTCCCAGTACCAAAAAAAAAAAAAGAAAGCTGGCGCATTTCAAAGTACTTGCTTAGATTACCAGATATAGGCATGCAAAACTGATCAAGCAATTAAGCATTAGCTGTTCCTTTCAGTAACTCACTAGAAACCAGTAGTATAATTTCCTTAGCTATCTTGTATAAAAATTACTATTTTTATAGAATCTTACTGTGTTGCTCAGGCTGGCCTTGAGCTGCTGGGCTCAAGTGATCCTCCTGCCTCAGCCATCTGACTAAATGGGCCACTCTGTCCGACTTCCATTATTTGTAACTTTAAACAATTGTTTTTGCCTTTTTGAGAAGCTATCTAAAATTTAGGATTCTTTTTGAAGGAAAATTGAAATTTTGTTTTTTTCTAATGAGGTATGCTACGAGCCAGAGCTTTCTGCCTCTTTTTTTTGGTACCAGGAATTGAACTCAGGACCTTGTGCTTGCCAGGCAGATGCTGTGCCACTGAGCGATGTCCCTGGCCCTCTCTCTGCTTCTTTTGTAATGGCTGATACCCTACCCTGGCAGCCAGCAGTTCTTTGTGGTCCTGCTTTATCTTCTTCACTAGTGAGAATAGGAGCTCTAAAATGTAGAGAGTCAGTGTTTATTTTTAGAGAAATGATGGTCTTTAGTCACTGAAATATTTTTGTATTCTTGCCAGGAAGTCATTTTAACTTTTGTATTGTTATTTTTAATATTTTGCTTGATTTTTTCCCCCTGAGTTACTTCTTCATCCACTTTCTAAGTGTTAAGGAAAAAATAAAGATTACTAGCAGATAAGTTGTGATTTGTTTATTAACACTATGAGAATTATGTTTACTTAAAATTATTGATACAAAAGCAATTTTAAATAATGGTTACTTTAGGATGGGAATTTTAGTTCATGTTAGATAAAGCTTAAAATATGTTAATTGGAAACACAAACATGGGCACTGGAATTGTAAAATTGTGTAGCACAGTAATGCTTTTTGTATTTGTGCTTTTGAAACAGAGCAGTCTTCTCCATCCTTAGGGTCCTCTAGTAGCAGAGGGGCTCTGGGAGCTCTGATGGCATGTCTCCGCGCAGCCAGAGCTCATGGACACCTTCAGTCTGCAACTGATGCCTGGGAGAACCTTGTGTCCAGTGCAAGGATAAAACAAGGCTTAATTCATCAGCACTGCCAAGTAAGGAAATATAGTAGCTGGGTATTTGTACATTACAGCAGGTCCATAATTTGTTCATTCATTTAATGCTTCAAAATAGAGGTCCCTACTTGTGCCTAGCGCTGCTTTGGGGATAAGTCCTTAACGAGGCCAAACAGGAAGTGCAGAGTATCATTCTTATACTCAGGCTTCTTAATATTTATTGAGGGGATGCGCAAATTTGCACAAAGCCCGTGAGAACTCTGAGAAGAAAACACAGGTGGCAAAGTGCTGTTATGCATAAGGCCTTCCCCGGAGGCTCAGAGGAAGCTGATCAGAGTAGGTGGTGGGTGATTAGGAATGTGGAGTGTTGGAGCAGGGCGGACAAACAAGGTCTGGGCAGTGATTAAGACCATTTGCTGGCAGGAGAGAGAAGAGTTTGGTATGTTTTATATACTGCTCCAGTGTTAGGCTGATGACTTTTGGTTCCCAGTCGTCAGTTGAAAGAAAGCTTCAACCAGAGTCACTCTGTCTTCAGCAAGAAAGTCACATTAAGGAAACAGTGATGAGTTTACAGAGTAGGGACAAAAATTAACCAGGAGACCAGTTGAAAGTGCATGGCAGTCATGTGAAAGTGAGGTGAGGGGCCCGGGGTAACGTGTCACTGAGGAAAGAGGGAGGGAGTGAAACTGAGCGTTACCTGGAATGTGGCCTCAGATTGTTTATTTTTATAAAGCCCCGGTTTATACATTTAATAAAAATAACTGTACTGGAAATAACTACCAGACCTTTGGGATGAGAAAACCTTTCTCAAGCGCACAAGTGTAAGCTAAAGCTTACTGTTTCCCTTTTGGTAGTCTGTTGTGTAAGTAATTAGACATTTCAGTTGGTTAAGGCTTTACTTATTTAATTGGCGAATGAACATTTTATTGCTTGATGTATTTTAGGTTCGGATAGATACATTAGGCTTGCTTTGTGAAAGCAGTCGAAGCACAGAAATTATTTCTGCAGAAGAAATGCAGTGGATTCAGTTCTTTATCACGTACAATCTTAATAGCCAGTCTCCAGGAGTGCGGCAGCAGATCTGTTCTCTTCTCAAAAAGGTAGAATTTTGCAGCAGAAAGTGTTGGAAAATGGTGAACTTTGCCCTGGAAATCATTTTGAAAAAGAGCTCAGGTTTTGGGAGAGGGTGGAAATGGTCATGAATTGGGCAGTCACATCTCTTCATGGCCCTTCTGTGACCTGCTCTATGATTTCATAAAGCTTGCATTTGAGGTTAAAATCTAGAGCAAAAAGTCCTTTCATTTTGGTTTAGCAAATCAACTTTGAGCTTTTTTTTTTTTTTTTTTTTAAATAATTTAGCACTGGGAGTGAAAGGTAGTTTTAAGAAAACTTTGATAGTAGGAGGATGTTCTTGCATTTTTATAGGTTTTCTTTAAGCACCTTATAAAATGGTCACTTCTGAATAATTCAGCTTGAATTAGTCACAACACATTTTTGAGGTGAATAATTGGTACAGAAATGAGTATATCAATCTTTAGGTTCAGGCCATTTTAAAGGAAATGGGAGAACTGTGGTTTAATGACCATATTCTAGTTGCAGTAATACTTGTAGGTTTTAAAAATATAAATGTCAATTTTCTACCAGAAAATTAACATAGTAGATTGTAAGAGTTTAAGAGCCAGTATTCTCCTTGCTTTAAAATTTCCCTTTCATGATGGCAATTTAGTTTAATGTGTGGCTTACCTATGCTTTATTTTTGTCTTAAAAGTTGTTTTGTAGGATACAAGAAAGTTCTCAGGTACTTTATAAATTGGAGCAAGGTAAATCCAAACATGAACCAGAGAATGGGTTAACCAGAGAGCAACCTTCTGTTTCTTTACAGCAATATAAGGTAGGAGAAAAAGTTCTAGACAAATGGAGCTTTATCAGACCTGAAGTAATTCTGAATATGCCTTAGAGGGAAATAGATGGAAGTCTCTTGGTGAGCCATGTTTCTGTGCAGTTTATCTTCAAGCGGGGTGTTACGTAAACCTCCTGGGGATTTGGTACTCCACTCCTGGGGTCTGTTACAGAATGACATTAATGGGCTCACCTCCACCCCTTACAGCTTGTGTGGGCCATGTGCATTTAGTACTTTAAAGAACAGGCAGGTCATGGCTCCCCAGAGTAAAAGATTGCTATGGCTGGGCCTACTTCCCCTTTAGACTCACATGATTTACAGTGGCTTGATGTTAATGACCCCTGGTGTGCAGTCCAGCTCCGAAGGGGGGTTTGTGTCTGTCGTTTTGGTGTGACCAGTAAAGAGGTGGGCTGGGTTTTAAGGCACTCTACTAATAGGGTGTACGGAGCCCCAGATACAGCGGCTCGCATCGGGACCAGGACGTAGTTTGACAATCTTGTTTCTTTTCCGAAAAACAAATGAATTTTTCACTGGTTTCTTACGCCACACTTAGCCTCTCAGAAGCAGAACCTTATTTTCTTCTGAGACCCAGGTGGAAGACAGACAGCTCACCTGTTTTAGTTTATTCAGGGAAACAGATATAATAAATATATATTTATATAATAAATTAATGAGACATTTGAACTCTGACATATTCCATACCTACTCTAAACATTAGTATATATGGTCTTGATTTTCAATTTTTGTATTTAAAAGGTAAAAACACTTTGTAGGGGACAGTATTAGGAATTGAACTCAGGGCCTTCACCACCACCCTACATCCCTACATCCCTCTTGTAGTTCTTGTCAAGTTACTAAGTTGCCCAGGGTGGGCTCAAACTTAAAATCCCCCTGCTTGAGCCTTCCAGAGTCCTGGGATTGTAGGAATGCACCATTATGCCCAGTTAAAAAGGCAAAACACTTTCTAATAAAGACTGTTATTCTTATTACAAAGGCCAAAGTCAGCTTCATCATTTTAAAATTCCAACAGTGAAGACTAGAAAGTCACAGCCTGGACTTAAAGGACGTAGCATTAGTCGCAGTTCTGCCACTTACCAGTTGGTTTACTTAGTCTCCTCCACTTTAAGTGGGATCCGTAACTCCTCTCAGAGGGTGGTTTTGAGGACGAAGTGAGAAAGCTCCTTGTAAACTTCAAGTCATTCCAAAAAACCTCACTTGGGAGCTATTGAAAGTGACTCAGAGTGTATTTTAAGCCTGCGCTGCTGTGTTCTTGTGACAATTCTTTGTTAACCTCTTTTAGATCAGTGACAGATTTTTAAAAACATGGCTTTTGTTTCTTTTGCAAAGGAAGTACAATGATGTTTGTGAAGTCTTAAGTACCTAGAAACACACCAACTATTTTGCGGATTGAGGTTCTAAATTTTCATGTATGTGGTTGTTTTGTTTTGTTTTGTTTTGTTTCTTTTTTGGTTTTTCTCCGGTACTGGGAACCGAACTCACGACCTTGCGCTTGCCAGGCAGGCGCTTTGCCGCTGAGCTAAATCCCCAGCCCCTTGTTTTGTTTTTAGATGATGCTTGTGGATGTGCATTTTTCAAACATGGGTCCTCCGAGGTTTAGCCTGAGTCAATCTTGTAGTTATGATCTTTTCTCCCCCGTGGTAGTTACCTCTTGCTTTTAGAGTATGCATAGTATTGTCAAGATCCTCATGAGAGTGAGTCCTGTGAACTCTGTGCTATAGTCCTAGTGCCATCCAGCAGATGAAGAGCTGGAGAAGAAAAAAAGGCTAGTGGTCAGAAAAGGTATCTTCATCCCTAACCAATACCATATTAATAGTTAGAGTAGTTTAAAATGTAAATTTACAAAATGTCTTATATTCATGTTCTCATTTAGCCTTTAATAGAAATGCTGTAGGGTAAGCATTATCCCCACTTCATAAGTGATAATACTGAAGCTTAGTAAAATTTAGTAACCTGATCAAGGTTCCTCAGCTTAGAAGCGGTAGAACCAGGATCCAAATCCAGATGTGCTCTTCACTCCACAGTCTCAATAGTTTTTTAATGGAAGCCTTATTGGGAGCTATTAGAAGTGACTAGGGCATATGTTGAAGGTCTACTGAATGTACGGGATGCTGTTCTCAGTAGTAGGAGCCTAATGTATAAATGTGATCTCTGTCTCTGTTATGGTTACAGCCTGATTTATAAAATGAAGAACTATGTCTCAAAATATAAATGATGACATCATTAGGATGATTCCTAAAGGATAAGTTTCTTGTGGTTTAATGTGAGTGCTATTTTACTTAAGACTAGTTTCAGACAATTTTTGATAAGCATCCTATTCCTTTAAAATCCAGTAGAATCAATAAACTAATGATTGCAAGGTAAAGGATAAATACCCAAAGATGCATGTGTAGCAGCAAACTAAATGCAGCTATCTTGTATTTTTGTTTTGTTTTGTTTTTGAGACAGTGTCTCACTTTATAGCTGAGGCTGACCTATGTAGCCCAAGCTGGACTTGAGTTCATGGTGATCAGTCTGCCTCTGCCTCCCAAGTGCTGCTGGGCCCGGTTGGTCTTGCATTCTTGACCTGTCTAGTGTCATTGAGGATTGGTGCTGCCTATGTACTGCTCAAGGCAGAGAAGTAACAGAATCCTTGAGAATCACAACTGTTCTTTATGATTTTTCTGTTTATCTTACATAGAAATTAATCATTTTTTTAAGTTAGAGGAAGAAGACTTTATCCTGGAAAAAGTATTTTCCACTTTGTTTTTTTGTAATTGAATTTTATTGAAAGTTTTCACTTTCATTTATATAAACAGAATGACAAAACAGAGGTCTCAGAGGGGCAAGTAGAAGATAAAGGAGTAGTTGAATCTTTGTATGAATTATGTCATAGTCAAACTTACCAAGTAGTCTATATTAGATATTTCTTTGTGCATTTTAAAACTTTAAAAAAAATCCGTATCTTGAATGCCTGAATGCCTTTGGTTAGGAAAACCAACATCATCCAGCTCTGGTACAAATCAGATGCAGCCTATATCTTGTTTTCCTAAAAAATGTAGTTTTTTTTTTCCCTTCTTGTTTAAGCTATAATAGAAATTATACTTCTTGCTAACTCTACAAAGGTAGAGCTCATTAAAGTTGTGATATACTGTTTATGGTCAAGGATCTTGTCTTAGTCCTTTTGTGTTGCTATAACAAAAAACCTGAGGCTGATATTTCAGAAAGAAAACAGGTTTATGGAGAAAGGGATGGTTGTAAAGTCCCAACAGCATTGTACAGCATCTTGGTGAGGGCCCCCTGGTTGTGTCACAACATGGTAGGAAAGTGGATGCAGGTAGAAAGAGCATGTTTGTGGATGTAAAAGCAAAAGAGCATTCTAGAAAGTGAAACTTGTATTATAGCAACTTGTTCTTGTATGAACTCACTAATCCCCAAGACCTGATTCCCATGAGACAACATTAATTCACTCATGAGGGTGGAACCCCCCGACCTAATCACCTTTTGCTGGGCCCTGTGTCTGAAAGGTTCCACCATCTCCACCCCCACCCTTGCACTGTGCATCAGGCTTGAAGCACATGAACCCTCGGAACTCAAACCATAGCAGTGCCAAAGTGAATTACCATGCTTAATCACCAGTGTTGTTTAAAAAACCTTACTCTCAATTTACAGTAAACAAAAACACCCACTCTTGGCAGTGATGCTCTGGGCATAACATGTTGTGCTGTAAATTTTTTTTTAGAATTTCATGTCATCTATTTGCAACAGTCTTTTTGAGGCACTGTTTCCTGGATCTTCCTATTCAACTAGATTTTCGGCTTTAACCATCTTAGGCTCAATAGCTGAAGTTTTTCCTGCAGTCGAAGGTAAGTTTTCAGTAATGTTTGGAAGAAGCATTCTGTTTTTTTCTTGCAAAGGACGTACACATTCAATATTTTGCTTTACTTGAAATTTCAATTTTATTGTCTTTTCTAAGATTTCTTCTTAGCATAGTTAAATTTTGCATAGTTAAATTTGCCAGTAAAGGACATAAGGGAGAGAAACTATCCCTTTTCATTGACCATTATTTGCCAATTCAGAACTACAATTTTCATGGATTATACTTACTAGAGGAAGATTCCTGCTTTTCATCTTCTTACATTGTTTTCCACTGTTTTAAGAAAGGGCTTAATCTGTTCGGTAAGTGTTAACAGTTAAAATAATAATAGTCTCTCATATTTAATAATCCTCAGCGAGTCTTTGAGGTTAAAATGTGGTTTCCCTTATATACTATCTGTTTCATAAGCTTCAGTCTGGTTTCACAAAGACATCGTGAGGATGTCATTTCCAGGCATCCTGTCTTAATGATATTCTGATTTTACTTCTGAGAGGTACTTGAAAGGATATGCATTTAATTTCCCTCTTTGAATCATTTTTTCCCCTTTTTGGCAAGAAATGATTCTTCTTGACTGCGTACATGAATGTATGCATAACTTAGTATGGTTTTCTTGATTGTGCCCCATTTTTCGTGACTGTGGTCAAGCAGGAACATACCTAGCTAAGCTACTCTTCAGTGGGAGGGACTGCAGCACTAGAGAGCTTTATGGGATAGCTGTATTCTTTTTCATTTTATGTTATTAGTCAAAGTCAAATTTTTGATGAGAAAGGGAGAGTTAGTTGCCGTTAATACAAGCTTGCTTCATTTGAGGACAGTCTTTTTTTTCAAGTTTTTAGACTGAGAAAATTCAATCCAGCAGCAAAGTTTCAAGAACAGTTCAGTGAACAGCCAAGTACCCTCTACATAGAAGTATCAGTTGTTAATATATTGTCATATTTGTTTTATCTCTGTTTATTATTGATTTTATAACTGCCACACAAAGCTCAAATTCAGGAAATTTAGTGTTCTGTAGTGTTATTAGCTAATGTCTGACCTACAGACAAATTTTGACACTTGTCCTAATAAGTGGTCTGTTATAGGAAAAAGAAATTTCCCACAATCCAGAAGTGGATTGTAGACCACACGTTATGTTTGATGTTATGCCTCTTTTCAGCCTCCTGTAATCTGGGACTTTACTTCGTTGTACTGATACTTAGAAGGAAGGTGTCTCAGTTGGTAGCCCGTGTTCTTAGGCTGTCTTCCCAGGAGGCACAGTCACCGGCTTGTTTCATTATTCACTGTGTTATTTTCTTTTCACTACTGGACCCATTGTCTTCACACTGAGCTGTTCCAGCCACAGGGTGATTGATAAACTCATTGATAAACTCAGTCACCCTTTTTAGGTAGGGGTGGTAGGCTTTAAAATTGCCTCCAAAAGACATCTACAAAATCCTCGGAACCTATGAAAGTGAACCTTATATGGGAAAAGGGCCTTTACACTCAAGTTAAGGATATTGAAATGGGAAAATTCTGATTATTTGGATGGGCCACAAAATGTCATCAAAAGTATCCATGTAAGAGAGAGGCAGAGACAGACTTGGCACACAGAAGAAGGGGCATCATGACAGCAGAGGTCTGCAGTGGAGTGACACAGCTACAGTTTATGGGATGCCAGCAGCCACCGGATGCTTGAAGAGGCTCCTTTAGAATCCTCAGTTTAGACTTAGATATCCTAGAGCCCTTAATTTTGGATTTCTGGCTTCCAGAACTGAGAGAGAATACACTGTGTGTGTGTGTGTGTAGGTCTTTTAAATTACCAAATTTTTGATGATTTATTACAGAATTCACAGGCAGTGAATCCAGGGTAAATTTCAGCAGTATTATAGCTGGACTTAAGTTTTTAATCTGAGTGTGACAGATTATTCATTTAACAGAAAAACTTATGCACTTTTAATGGATTTATAGCTGCACTTAATTGTATAGGGAAAAAACCATTAAGCTTAATTAGACTAGTCTTTTCAGTCAGGAGAGGATTTTAATATATTGTAATACATATACATTGAAGGTGAAAAACCTGAATTATCTTAATGAATGAATTACGTGTAATTGAACTATGACTATGTCATAGTAATTATATTAATCAGTCAGCTGGCAGGTAGTACCAAGCAGCCATACTATACCCATTAATTTTATTTTACTTATTTATTTTTTATGGTTAAGTTTATTGGTATAATTTAAATATGCATAATGATCACATTCATCATGAGGAATTTGTACCCCTACATGAGATATCTTAGTTTCTCTTTTTTTCCCATTTCCCTCCCTTCTCTTTAACCCTTCTTTCCCTCCTTATTTACAAAGCTTTGTTTCCATTTTATCCTTTTTTTTTTCTCATTTTTTTTCTTTTCCCTTCCACCACTGCCCCCACCCCCACATGCCCATTAATTTTGAAGGAGGCTAAAGAGCCTAAAGAAATACAGGGTGGAAAATTTATCCCTTGTCTTTATCGAAATAACTTTAATATGAGGACTTACTTTCTTTTATAGAAGCACTGTGATTTGGTAATAGTCAAAATGTTCTTTGCCTTTCTTACAGTATATCTTAGACAAAAAAGAATAAGCCACGTTCAACTTTCTTAGGTAGAATTAAATGTCACAGTATTCATGGTGAAAACTGGATCCCACAATTAAAGGCTTTGTTCAGCAAATATTAATTTAGTGTTTATTGTTTGTCAAATAGACATTGATAATATAATGTACAAAGCAAAGTTCTTCCGCTTTGGGGGCTTATGCTTTAGTGAAGGAAAACAGTACTGAACAAGTAACACATAGAGCTTCAGATGGAGATAAATTCTATGAAAAAAATATTTCAAGGAGACAAGGGGAGATAGAAAGTCCCTAGGAGGATGGAGAGAGCTAACTGTTTCATACAGTGGTGTCAGAAAGGCCTCATATTTGAATAAAGCCCTTATGAAATGAGTTAAAGAAGAAATCACAAAGGAAGGTAGAAAATGAGATGAATTAAAGCAAAAATACAACATATCAAAATTTACGGGATGTTGTCAAAGCATAACTTTAAATTCTTACATTAAAACATAAAAGTCTCAGATCAATAACCTAACTTTATACCTCCAGAAATTACAAAAGATGAGCTAGTAGAAGGAAGGAAATATAAAGATTAGAACAAAGATAAACGGAATAGAGAATAGAAAAACAGTACAGTGCACGGAATAGAGAATAGAAAACAGTACAGTGAATCAACGAAACCAGAAATTTTTCTAAAGATGAAGAAAAGTGATAAAGTTAAAGCTAGACTAAGGAAAATGAAAGGTGGTGCAAATAGCTACAATCAAAAGTAGAAACATTTGTACACTTACAAAATAAAAAAGATTATGACAGTATAATGAACAGTTAATATGTCAACAAATTAGATCATCTACCTGAAATGAGCAAGTTACTAGAAACATCAAATTACCACAAGTTGAAACAAGTTTTGAGCAGACTTTTAGCAATCAGTAATCAGAAGCCTCCTAACAAAGAAAAATCCAGGATGAGTGGCTTCCCTGGTGAATTTTTCCAAGCATTTAAAGAAAAATTAACATCAGTCCTCACTTTTTCATAGTATTGGTGAGAACACCTAACTCACTCTGTGAGGCTATCGTTACCTTGATACCAAACCCAGACAGAGACAGTGTACGAAAGGTGTAGATAAGTATCCCTTACTAGTATAGATCCAGAAATTTTCAACAAAATACCAGGAAACCATATCCAACCGCATGTTAAAAATATTGTACATCATGACCAAGTGAAATTTACCCTAGGAATGCAAACTTGGGTCAACATAAAAATGACAGGATATATCGTCATACTTACTCTGTGTCACTTGATCTAAGATATGGTAGGACTTTGGATTCTGGGTCAAGAAGTTTATAAAGATAGCCTTACATTTTAAAACAGTGTTTATTTTCTGTTCAGAAAATTGTAATACTTTCTGTCATTTGAACAAGTAAATTAATAAAAAGCAATTTTATGCTATTGTGGATAAAGTATGTAGTGTGGTTAAAGTATGAAGTCTTAGTGTAGGTGAAGTATAAAGTATGAAGTTTGTATTAATTTTCTGTAAGTTTAGCTGGATAGCTGCAGAAAGCTGATTTTCTTTTCCTTTAACTCATTTGTGAATCTTATTTTCATTTTTTGTTTTAGGTAGAGTCCAAGTGGTATATCAGCTGAGTCATGATATTGATGCGAGTCGTTTCCAAACACTAATAGAATGCTTCACCAGCACTTTTGAAGAAGTGAAAACTCTAGCATTTGATCTGCTCATGAAGTTATCAGTAACACCTATACAATTTCAGGTAATTGGACTTTTCCTGTGTAAATATAATATACATATGAAAACTTTCTATTTTAGCATACATAAATAAAGCATCTGAGGATTACCCAGGCTCTCCACACCTGCCTTCTTGGGCCCTTTAACTATTTCTTTTGGTTAGTGATGCGTCTGCAGTGTTGTGGTGTGGTGGGAAAGGAAGAAATACCGTAAGAGTTCAAATCAGTGAGCTGTGCTTTTTTGCTGCTTTGATAAAAATGGAGGTGTAGGAGGGAGTAGGTCTTATTGTTTACCATATTATTAGTAGATTTCAGTGAACTGTGGTCTCCCCAGTTCCTTTGGGCATGTAATAGGCGATCAAAACACATCACTTACAGTAATTTTGAGCTTTTAGAGGTAATCTTCCTGCTTATTAGACTGAGAACCTGAGTGTAAATGAGGTAGAGAACATGTTTCTGGTCTTAGCATAAACAGCAGCTAAACTGAGACTGAAACTCAAGAGTACGTGAGGTTAACAACAGTTGTCTTCCTAGTTGTTCAACCCAGCTCCTCCCCTGGAACCTGCTTTCTTTCTGACACCTTGCTCTTCCCACTTCCGGGTAGGAACCAAACATGGGCACAGGAGTGAAGGCACAGTATGCAGGGGACCCTCTCAGCCATGCCCTTGAGGCATATTCTGGGGCTCTGGGGTTAGCAGTGGAGTAGTGGCTCCAGAGCTCTGTTGCTTTCTCAGAACCCTGCAGAGGCCAAGGGTACCTGCAGGGGTTGTTACTGAGCTCTGGTCTGGGTGCCAGCTGTTTCTAGGTATTTAGGGCATGACAGCTTGCAGACACCGTGGGATTGTGTAGGAGAACATACCAGAGAAGAAACACGGTGTCTTTTTGTGGCTTGTTTGACATTGCAAGATCTCAAGGTATCTTTTTGATTTGTACTCAGATTGAGACTTGCTCTTCAGGGTCCACTTACAACTGTGGTCTTCCTGATGCCCTGTAAGGAGAAGGTTCTTCAACTGCTGAGTGTGCTAACTCTTGTACTCAACAGAATTTGAAATAAGAAACTTTCTTATCCTCTATTAGCAACACCCACACCCTCCACTGTTCAACACACATAGCCTTGTATCACATATGTAGCTATGCCTCATCCCTGGGAAATGTTTTAAGAGTATCTGGAATGGAGAAGGTATATTACAGCATATATATCAAAGACCTGGTTCTTACATAAACTGTGAAGGGTTCTTATGGGGCCTTTGCATCTCTGGTTTGGTAATTTGCTTGATACAGAGATGTTAAACTATAGAGTACAGGAAATTTTAGGACCACACAGGGTGTGCTATAGGATTTTGGTTATATAGTCTGTTCCGGTTTGTATATCAGTAAAATAATCATTGGAATAGACATTCAAGATTTAAAAGTATTAATTAATTATATATTTCCAAAATCTTTCTTTGGTTATACCCTGTATATTTTGTAATTTTTAAAAAATAAACATTAAAGCATACTTTGAATGCCTGATTACTGTTAAGCACCCTATATATAATACATATTTTTGATAGCTTATCTTTCTGATATATGCTTTTACTACTCACCTAGTTGACTGCCTTTCTACGTGTCCTAGGTCTTTGTATTGTATTTTGATTGATCTAAGATGATGGAACAAAAATATTTTAGGCTTCAAGGGTTATTTATTGTGTTTCTTAGTAATTGGTTAGCCAATTCAAGAACTTACTGTGAGTTGCAAAGATGACTTAGTAGCTTAATTTTTTCCTTCTAATATTTGTTTTGAGCTTTGGCCACTATTTTTAAGTTTTTGGGTCATAGAAAATTAACCCTATCAAATGACAAAGAATTTAAATTAAAAGAAACTGATATTTAAATCAGTACATTTGATAACTACTATTTTGAAATTGTAAGGTATCATTAGATATTAGCGTACATAAATTCAACTTTAAAATTAAGTTTATAATTTTTTTCTTATGTTAGTTACAGACCAACCCTAGTAGACAGAATATTATTGAGCAACCAAACCCTTGTTTCCGGAGTGGTAACACTAGCTTGTCAACTGTTGACTGGGGACTGGGAACCACGTCTCTTGTTGTCTGGCCAGTCCGTTCACTTGACTTTGGCATTGAACAGAGTCAGTGAGCAGCCCTTTGTTCTGACTTTGTTAGGATAGTCTTAGTTACTTTTCTCATTGGTGGGACAAAATACTCAACACCCAAAGTTAAAGGAGAAAAGGTGTAGTTAGTTCACAGTTTGTAGAGGTCTCAGTTCACAGTTGGCTGGCTCCAAGGCAGGGTGGCATGGCAGAGGGGCGTCGCAGAGGAGAAACAGTCTGTGGTGTGGCAGGCAGAAGGCAAAGAACAGCAGCAACAGCGGTAAGCCTGCCTTTTTTGTCCTTTTGTATTCTGTCCAGGCTATCAGCCCATTTTGGGTATCACCCATACTCAGGGTGGGGCTTCCATTATCCACACTCTTAATTGCAGTATTGCACCCTTAATCCACATCCACACACCTTAAATCCAGCCACCTCCAAAAAGCCTGATAGGACTGCATGAAACTTTGGAGCAGGGGGAGGGAACATCTAGATATAAGCCATAACAGTTGATGTGAGTGAATATTTATATAACTATGGCAGCGTGGATGCTGAATTGCAGAAGTAGATCTGGTCACTTTGTTTTCTGCACATATACATACATTTTCATCCTGCATAGCCTCCTAGTGGCTTTCTATTTGTCTCCATTGAACTAGTTCTGTGGAAAGGGAGAAGCGAATAGAAGGGCAGGAGTATGATGCCTGGGTAAAACATTAAATATAAGAGAAAAAAAGTACCCTATATAGAAATAACAAAGTTGGTCTGGTTGTAAACATTCCAAATTTCTACAGAAAAAAGTATGCTGTTGCTGAAGAAGGAGGTACTGTATTTTAAAAACAGCTCTATCAGTGTTGAATTTCCCAATTAAATTATTCTTAAGGGCTTCATCTCTGAATTGATTAATAGTAATCATTACTGAAATAAAAACTAAAGGCTGGGTGTAGTGGTGTACACCTGTAGGCACATCCCAGCCATTTGGGAGGCTGTGGCAGGATGATCACAAGTTCACAACCAGTGTGGGCAACATAGTGAAATCTTGTTTAAATAAATAAATAAATAAATAAATAAATAAATGAATGAATAAATGCTAACCTATATTAGGGAGAAAGAAATTAATGTGCACATTGACTTAGAGTTATATGGGAGGCTGTGTTTTTAAACATGTAGTATTCCTGCAAATTACAGAAATCTCGCTATGACAGCTACCGGGACTGTGTTCTCTTCTAGGATACCGGGAAACTGCAAGGCTTATTCCAGGCAGCTCTGGAGCTCAGCACGAGCACAAAACCATATGACTGTGTAACAGCTTCCTACCTGCTGAACTTCTTAATCTGGCAGGATGCTGTGCCGTCATCCCTATCTGCCTACCTAACCCAGAGTGCTGCACAAAGCGATGAAAACAAGCCTGCTTCTGTGGCGGAAAGGAACACATTAACGGGTTTGTATTGAGGAAATGACCTTTTACTCTTATTTATCAAAAACCAATCTCCTATTCTCTCACTATTTGTTTGGTATCTAATAGTTAAACATTTATTTTGTGGTTTTTTTTATTTAAGAGTTTCCGATCATATAAGAGCATCATGTGGTTCTTTTACCAAGGAACAGCTTACTCAGCAGTAATACTTGCTTCTAAATAGAGGATTCCTGTTAATAAATAGATATACAAGTACATATTAAGGAAACACTTTGAAAAGAGGACAACCCTTTTCTCCATCAAAAGTGAACTTTTTTCCCCACAGCGGTTGTACTATAGCTATAGATAAATCGTCTTTGTTACTTTTATATAGAGCCGAGTTCATTTGTCTGTTGGAGTTTGTGTCTTAATTGGCTGGTCACTCCCTTTCCTTCTACACTGCCATATTGCCAGTTCCCAAACCCAGGACCTGAAACGTTTTAGCCAATGATCTTCTAGACATATTTGTTGGAGATGTATGTACGTACTTACTTTTATGCTAATAAATCTTCAGTTTGGAATTGTACTGGATGTTAGGACAGATGCAGATTTTTATAGTAAAAGAAGGATCAGATATAGAAAGTTGAAAATTATTCTTTCTCACATGGTATAAATAGCCTTGACAGAATCAGTAGTTGGAGAAAAGTGTAAGGCCATATGTAGTTCTGGTAGGAGTGTGGCTGTGGATCTGGGGATGCAGAGATGACAGTAGCATAGAGGATGACACTTGGCCACTTGAATTTCTTTAGGCCTGGGGTCCAAAGGAGACCCTGGGAAGACAATAGAAAGAAGACTGCAGCTCTCCTGAATTGGGATATGCGTGCTTCACAGGAAGGCTTCCAATTCAAAGCATATTATGGCTGTGAAATATTTCCTACATATAAAGAGTACTTCAGTATATAATGTTAAATACAATAGTAGAAAAACCTCACAAACTAGGTGATAAACTCGGTTTAAGAGGTAGAATAAAGGCTGGTCGTAGAGTGTGTGCTTATTATGCACAAAACCCCTGCTGAGGATTCTATCCTCAGCACTGAAAAAAAGAAAAAGATTCACAGCCACATGCAGTGGTGTGTATGCTGTTGGGGAGACTGAGGCAGGAGGATTGCTTGAGCCTAGGAGGTCACTAAAGCTGCATAGTGACACCCTGCCTCTAAAAAAAACTACACCTTCTTTGAATCCTTTTGTTTATCCTAACCTGTGGTGTGCATTAACCTTTTATCTTGTTTTTCTTTATAATTTTACCACATGCATATGGGATTAAACAATGTATTATTTAGTTTTGAATCTTGAATTTTGAACATAATTTTGAATTTTATGTAAATAATACTGTATATAATATACCCATTTGTTCATCTATTCTTTTGATAGGCTTAGTTTTTTTCTAAGTAAGAAATGTGAATGTGAGCGTTGGCCTGCAGACCTGCTAATGTATTGTCTAAGAGTTTTTGGTGAGCAAAGAGGAGGTTTTGGTGGTCAGAGGGTACCTGTCTTTAATTCTGTGAGCTGATACTAAATAGACAGGTTTTCACAAAACTGCCACCAAGAAATTTTGAATTGTGCTATGTAAGACATCACCACCATAGTTTTCTATTGTCAGACTTTAAAAATTTGTAGAATAGAACGTGATAGTGTGGTTTCAGTTTGCAGTTTTCTGATTACTATAATTTGTTCATGATTCCTCTGTCATGAAATGCATGTTGGTGTCCTTTGTTCAGTTTTCTGTGGAATTGTTTGTCTTTTTTCTGTTGACTTGAAGGACCTTTATGTATTCTGCATATTGACAATTTACTGGTTATACGCAATCCTAAAATTTAAAATATAGCCCTTTCCTTCAGAGGGGTGAGGAGAAGCATCTTCTATACTTGGCTAACTGGCTATCCCGAGGCTAAAGAATAGAATTAGGTCTGCTACCTCAGATCACAGATAAAAATGAGCCCCAAATGGACTCCAGACCTAAATGTAAAGGCCAGTGCTATAAAACCCTTAGAAGAAAACGTGCTGTGTCTTCATGACCTTGGGTTAGGCAGTGCTGTACTTCCTTAGATATGACTGCCAAAGCACAAACAGCAAAACAAGAGTACAAATTGAACTTCATGAAAACGTATAGCTTTTGTTTAATAAAGGGTGCCATCAAGAAGGTAAAAAGAGACCCTATAGAATGGCACACTTTCTAGAAAGCACTTTTACAACTCATTAATAAAAAGGTATAACCATGTTAAACGGAGGAAGACTGAATAGACATTTCTTTAAAGATACACAGAAGTACACAGATGCTCAATATCGTCAGTCCTCAGGGAAGTACAAATCAAAATCATACTCATAATGAGGAAACACTTCATTCAGTAGAATGGCTGTAATTAAAAAGAAACATAAAATATTGATGATAAGGTGGAAAAAGTGGAACCTTCCTACACTGTAGGGTAGGGATATATTCATCCCTAACAGACACATACCCAGAGAAAAGAAAACATATGCTCAAACACAAGCTTGAGCAAGAAAGTTTAGAGCAGTATTATTTAGAATAGCCAAATAATAGAAACCACATACCCATCAGCAGATGGATGGATGAATAAAAATGTGGTGTGTCCATTCAGCTGACTGTTACTGAGCTCTGGAAAGAATCAGCTATTGACAGATGATGCAACATTGATGAACTTTGAAAGTACAGTGGTACCTTGGTTCAGGAATGCTTTCGTTTGCAAAAAACAAAAGTGTTTGGCAAAATTTTGTTTTAGTTTGCAAACTGCATCGGGTGATGAACGTGACTGTGGTCATCTTCCCCACATGAACATAAACGTGCCCATGTTTTCCAAAATCATAGAACAAATTTGTGAGTCGAGGTACTATGGTAGGTAAAAGTATCCAATCACAAAAGACCTTTTAGTATATAATTCCATTTATATGGCATGTCCAGAATAAGCAAATCTGTAGAGACAAAAATCAGATTAGTGGTTTGGTAGGGTGAGAGGAGGGTAGAGGTGCAAGGTGGGGAGTAACTTCTAATGGCTAAATGTTATTTTATGGTGGCAGTGTCCTGTAATTGTGATGTTTGCATGTATCTCACTGTATTAAAAGCCATTGACTTGTACACTTTATTTTTTTATTTTATGAGAATAACAATAGTGATTATACTGTGTTGTTATCGTCATTGTACACTTTAAGTATATGAGTTGCATGGTGAGTTATACCTCACTTTAGTTTAGTTGTTACTAAAAGTCATCTTCTGGCCAAATAAAACATCACATAGGTCTGAAGTTTGATGCAGCAGCTAGAGGATGTGTAGGAGGACTGGGTCAGAGTGAATGCTAGAGTAGATCCAGGTAGTTAAGGAAAGACACTCGATTCTTTAACTGTTGTCTTTAAAATGAGTTAATGGGCTGGGTGACCTTGAAAACTCTCTTTCAGATTCAAAACCTCATAGAATTCATTGGAGTTGGGTGTTTTCATTTAAGTTTTGCTCCCCACAAGTTATAAATGTATTTTACAATGGCGCTATTTCAGTTTTCTGTTTGCTTTTTCTAGTTATCAAGTGCTTGATAGAAAATCTTGAGGAAGATGTGTCTCAGGCTGAAAACTCTCTGCTTCAGGCAGCAGCATCCTTCCCGATGTACGGGCGCGTCCACTGTATAACAGGAGCTCTGCAGAAGTTACCGCTGGAGTAAGAGCACCCCCAGCTATCTCTGGTTTCAGATGCACCCTCATGTCTGAGCTTTAATCCCTTATAGGAATGTGTCCTAGGAAAGGAATGTTGTCTTGCTTTAAAGAGAATTGAAAATTAGATTGAAAATCTACTTATATATTTATTTGTATGTCTCAAATATTTCATATTTTGCACTGTTTTAAAACAAATTCTTTAAGTCCTCCTTTGCTTGTAGTATCAGCGTCCCTAATGTTCTTATTGCAGCAGCCTGCAGCTGGTAAGTGAGTGGACAGCTGTGGTGGAGAAGCTCCTATTGATGTCCTACAGGATTTCGGCTGTGGTGGCTCCTGTCATTCAGAGCTCCTCCCCTGAGGGCCTCATCCCCATGGACACAGACTCAGGTCAGCAGACAAAGAGGCCTGCAGTGCTATTGTTTGATTACCTCTGTCTCTCTCATATCTTTAGAGAGATATAAAAGCTAAATTGAGGGAAAAAAGGAATTGTATTTTGTGATATTTTTGCCCTTTTGGTAATATTTTTAACTATTAAAAAATAGCCAATTCAGTTGTTTACTATCTTTTGCCTAAGAATAAAAAGTTTTAATTATTCACCTCCAAAAACAAGTAGCTAAAAAATCATCTTGAGAACCAGGTGATGAGCAAGGTACTCTTCTTCCCCCAGGTAAATTGGGTTGTGTAGTAGCAGTATTTCAGAATATTGCTGACCAGAGGCTGCTGCAGCTTTGAGGGCAGGCAGTATAAATTAGTGAGGTGGGCACTGATGGAGTTTCTTAGGAGTCTTTAGTGGACAGAGGCCTTATGAAATGCCATAACTGTTGAATGAAAGAAAAACAAAATAGGAACAAATCCTTAAGTTGTCCCAAATTGAGCTCATGAACGTTTTTTGTCTGCCATTTTCTTCCTAACCCCTGTCTCTTTGCACATGTTCTAACTAAGGATCTTATGATCTATTGTTGTCTCTCGTTTAGAATCAGCAAGCCGCTTACAAGTGATTCTCAATGAGATTCAGCCACGAGATACTAATGATTATTTCAACCAAGCCAAAATACTGAAAGAATGTGATAGCTTTGATTTGGAGGATTTGAATGTCTGTGTGTCAAACATTGATACTTTTGCAGATATCAGAGGTAATATATATAGAATTAGTACTGTAATCCTTTTTTTCCCAGTGATAGGGATAGAATCCAGGGCGTCCTTGCACATGCCAGGTCAGCACTCTACTACTGAGCCACGCCCACACTCCCAAGTGTTTAAGTATCAGTAAAATACATAGAATGACCTTTCACATAATAAATGAGAGGCTGCAGATCTGTGCAGAACATTTCTAGAAAATAAAGGTTTTTATTTTTATATATTGGGTTTTGGGAATGAATTTATAATAAGGCTTTACTCAGATGATGATAGGCCCCAGTTCACCATTTAAGGGGCTACAACAAAAAGCCTTTGAGTGCTGAACATGCCTTGATGCCACGATGCATGATGGGTTGGGGCAGTAACTGTCCTCTTGCGGTGCTATGGCTCATTGTTGACCTCTGTGGCCATTCTTAAAGTCAGGCAGCCTTTTAAAGGAAGCCAACCTGTCCCTCTGCAAAAGATGAGCTACTTTGTTGTTCCCAGTCTCCAAAATTTGTATCCTTAACCCTGTTCTATCATTAGCTATTCTTTTTTTTTGGTTTTTTGCCAGTACCAGGAATCAAACTCACGACCTCTTGCTTGCCAGGCAGGGACTGTGCCACTGAGCTAAATCCCCAGCCCCAGCTATTATTCTTAAATTTTCTACAGTACTGTAAAAAAGCATAATCAAAAGCAGGAATTTTTTAATGATTACATATTCTATATCCTCCACTAGATGGGGATATTGTCCTGCAAAAAATTATCTTTGCAATTGTGTTTTTGAAAGTACAAAAGACATAGAAATACATGCTTATTAAAATAGATTCAAACAACATACAGCTAAATATATATATTAAAAACAAAGTTATCTTCCACTTCTTCCCCAATTGCATTTCTTCTCTCTTATTGTGTGTTCTTATACTTATCCTGTGTTATGTGTTTATGCATATGTACATTTATCCTTTTAGTGTAGTGGAATTTTTAAAAAATTGGGTTACAGTATAAATATTATTTTATTAACTTTTTCATTGGATAGTTTGTTTTGCATTTTTTATGTCAATACTAAATTATTTCTAAAACCAGAATAAAAGATAAATAAGAGCAATTGTAGCTTATTGACTATCAGATTTAAGTATATGTTAAAAGAAAGTTTGTATTTTCCTTTGATTTTAAAAGGTCAGTCCTGTACCTTAACAGCCATCTTCGTCAAAATAAATGAGAAGTATATTTTGTGTAGTTATCCATGTAATACTTTATGAATGACAGAGGCATAAAGAGTTTATTAAATTTTGAAGCAATATTATGCTTTATTTTTAGATTTATTTTGAAAATAACAAATTGAAAAACATTTAGCATGACTCCTCCTAACAGCACATGCTTGACAAATGTTAGCTTTTTTTCCTCCTGAACAAATAGAACACATGACAAATTGGTTTGTTCAGGCAGATTATTTGTAAGGAAATTATGAATAAACTTGTTCTATGAATCCTGGGGTATGAGTAATCAAGAATGTTTAATGTTGTTTTTTTTAAGGTAAAGAAGGAAAAACATGTGATGTCACTGCTCAGATGGTGCTGGTATGTTGTTGGAGAAGCATGAAGGAAGTTGCCTTACTTTTGGGCACCCTGTGCCAGCTTCTACGCATGCAGCCTGTGCCAGAATCATCTGCTGGATTGTTAACAGTGGAGCAGGTAATGTGGATGTTTATTCCATCAGGTATAATTTCTGGTTAAGGCATAAATCTCAAGTTTTTATTTATAGTCCAGCTTTTAAAAAGTTCTGAATTTTTCTTAATAAAACTTTATAGATCAACTGAAAAACACTTGTGATGATTTAGGATATTAGATCTTGCAGAACATTTCAGAACTGGCATTTCTAGAAATATTTTTATGTAAATAACTAGACTTTACCTCACTTTTAACTGTAATAGTATTTTAATTTCTATTTCTTTATTTAACATATATGAACTTAAATTTTAGTTAAAAATATTTAGTAAAACTATCGAATTTCTTAAGTTTTGTAGAAGAATGAGAAATAACATATTGGTTGACTATGGATCTCATGTTTTCCCACCACTTTGATAATAAAGTTGTAGTCATTTTGGTCTTTTTGGCTGACTTTTATTTTAAGACCACAAAGTTAGTTCACCATCTGGGACTGTTCATGGGACTCAAGCACAGTGTTTACAAGAAATTAGCTTACCACAAGCATTTCATTTGGAAATATTTTAGATTTATTAGATTTCTGTTTTTAATTGATTCCCTCTTTCTTTCCATATGGTTTCAACAAATCCATTTCCCACAGTTTTCTAGCAAAGATATATAATGTGTACTTTCATATTTAACCTTTTTCAAATAAAGATAATTTCCCCCCCAGGGTGTTAGAGCATTCAAGAATAAAACAAATATCATAGTAGGCTAATGCTGACTCTTCCTATAATAATCATGTGACTACTTCCATGGAAATAATAATAATATTTTATTCTCACACTGCGTAGCGCATGTGCTTGCATCTGGTTAACAGCTGGGCTCATGTTGCTGCAGGGACAGGACAGGAGAAGGGCAAAGGCGAACAGTACACTGTGGACATCATTATGTTCCTTATTCTCTTCCAAGTGAAATAGGCGCGAGTGTCCTCGAGTTACTTGGAGGCTGTGCCGGTGACTGACCGTAGTGCCAGTGCCAACATCTTTGCTCAGGAATTCAGTCATGATTAGTGATGATTCCACTGATGTCCACCATCTTGCCAGGAAGTAAACATGTGCTCGGGTTCCTGGACTTCTCGGTTTCTTTTTCCAAGGACAAGTTTAAAATACCTAGTTTTGGGGTTTGTTGGATTGTACTTAAAAACAAATTAAAGAAAACATATTTGTCTTTTACTGTAATTGAGAAAGACCTGAAAGCTTCTTATGAGAAGTCTTTTGCTTTGACACCTTTCACATAGGATATTTTATGGTTTATGGTTTTATGAATTTAATTTATGTGGGATAACCATGAAGAGATGTTTGTTAAAAAAAAAAATCACAGCAATAACAAAAGATGTTTTTACTTAGTTTTTAAACTAAGTAATTCTTCCAATGGCTGTTTGCTTGCATAATAATAGAATACTATTTTTGTGAAGTCTTAGTTTGTATTCTAATGAGCTGTAGGCATTTTTCAGTGCACTGTTCACATGGTAACCTCACATGCTGAGGTGTGAAAAGAAACTACTGACTGAATGAAGGATCAAAAATACGTGATAGCTGTATTTTAACACTGAAACCCTGCTCTCTGTGGAAAGTTTTACTGTTGATTATAACTGAGTTTAAAGAAATACCACAGTGTAGGAACATTTAGTCCATGAAAATCCAAAGCCATGAAGAGCTCAGTGTTATTTACATTATTACAGGATTTCTGCTTTAAACATAAAGCTTTGCTTCTTTGAATTAAAAATACTTCCACTCTCACGTCCTTAGTACTTTTAAGATTTAAATGTATAAATGACCTAGAGTGTAATTTACATTGCAATGGCTGGGCCACATCTAAGTACACCCTTCCTTCCCAGGCACAGTTGCCCTGGCAAAGCTAGGTCTGCTATGCCTGGTGGCAAAATGACCAATTTGAGAGTCAGCACCTTTTGTGAGCATGACTACAATAGACCTGGAGACGCGAAGGCAGCGAGGTGATTTGTAGCTGAATTGTACCCTAATTACTGTGGAGAATGTGAAAGTCGGACTTCATATTCCCCACAATAGTAACCATGAACCGCTTTTATATTAATGGATGTAGGCAGCTGTTCATGCAGCCTAAAATACTGCTTTTGAGCCTGATGCTTTTCTGTGTGCACTCTGCACATTTGAAAAAGTAATAAAATTCTATTATAATTTAAAGTTTGATGCCTTGAGTAAAGAAGACAGGGAAGTTTTCTTTTTGTAGCTTAGTAGCATCCTGGTGTTATGGGCCTCTGTTAAATTAGTGGCCTCTTAAGTCCCTGTACCTGAGCATAGTTTATAAGAAGCTAACGGGAAGTGAGATTACAGTTTGGGGGTTTTGTTGCTGTATGGAGAGAGGAATGAGTACTTGTTTACAATTCCAAGTTTTCAGTCCTGTATCCCAAACTATTAAGAGCTGGAAAGGTCATAGAGATGATCTTCTCCAGCTACCTTGGACAAGAGAAGACTGAAGCCGCTGCTGTGGCTTGGTTTGCTCAGGACCGCAAAGCTGGTTTGTGGCAGCTCTGGAACAGGAACCTAGCTCCTTTCCCAGCCAGCCTGTGCTCACATGGCAAAGTACTGCCTTTGTTCTGAGCTAATTTAATTTTTCATAAGATGAATTTTCTCTATTTCCAGAACCCCAGCAAAATTTCGCAAGCAACAAGACAATAAGACAATTTGCTACTGAACCTTTAAATAAGTGATCCTTTCCTTAGATCACTTCTTGTGAAGCAAAGTGCTCTCACTGGCTTCTGCAAGAGGAAAATATGTTCATTCAGTGGCTTGTCTGCCTTTCCTGCCTGCAATGTGATCACATAATGAAAGGTTCTTTCATAATGTCCCTATAAAGAGCAGAGATAAAACCAGCTTTGAGAGATGTAAGTGAGACTCTTCCAGAGTGAGCTAGCTGTGCATACACCCTTATCATGCAGCTTCCTGACTAGTGGCTGGGTGTCTAGGTTTCAGGCTTCACGTTTTGCTGATACAGGCTTTTGCTTGATACATTCTGTTGGTCGTCTTTCCATGGGAATCTGATACCCAACGCCTGTAGATTTTGTAAAAACAAATTCTTGTACCTGGAGCACCAATTTATGTTTATGTATTTCCTCTATTATTCCTAAGTAGAAGCTTCTGGCTAAGTTTTTCGTATCTGCTTTCCCCGTCCTACTAATTATTGTCACAGAAATCACATGAATAAAAATAATTACCAACCATTAGAAAAATGTCTACTTTAGATTCTGTTGTAACTTGCATGATACACACAGCTAACTGGACTAATACATTCTCTCTGTCTTTTATTACTGGTTTGGATCTTTTGCAATGGAGTATGGAAGGAATATACATTTATTAGCATTCCTAAATCTTAAAGAAATTGCCTTTTGTAATTTTGCCCAGGTTTAATTTTTAGAAATTATTAAAAAGTACATTGAATTATACTGAACAGAAGTTACCATTTTAAAGCTTTTATGTGACAGTGAGTATGAAACCACATGATTTAATCACCTATTCACTGTTGGAACATAAAATTGATGATGTTCTGTGACCTCAAAGAGCTTAGAAATATAATAGGGGGTACAAGACATTCATTTTAAAACTCAGACTGATACGTAGCAGTTAAAATCGCTCGTGGCTCAGAATTTGCTAGAAAGCAAAGAATAAATTCTGGTAAGATGTAGTTGAATACCAGAAAACTATTACCTTTGTTGGTATTATCTGGGACAGTGGTGGTGAACCTGTGACGTGTGTTACTGTATTTTTCTTTCAAGACAAAAATGTGAAGGTAGGAGTTGTATTTTCTAAACTAAAACCTCAGTATTCAGATTTAATTGCAATGTTGGCATTTTGTGATAAATAAATGGGTTTGAGGTTGCAATTTGTGCCCTTGGCCTCTAACAGGTTTGCCATCACTGATCTAGGAGAACAGTGTTTGGGCTTGGAAGAAATTGGTTAGTAGGAAGTCACTGTATGTAGAGAATGTGTGTCTAAAACGTTTCTTATTGTAGTGTAAATTTGTGTGTGTGTGTGTGTGTGGTACTGGAGATCAAACCCATAGGCACTCTTATCACTGAGCGACATCTTTAGGCCTTTTACTTATTTATTTTTTTAAGACAGAGTGTCTCTAAGTTGGCCAAGTGGTGCTTGAATTTATGATTTTCTTGCCTCAGTCCTTCAAAGGGCTGGGATTACAGATGTGCACTGCCATGACCAGCTAGAAGATTCCATTTAACTGAAATAGAATTAGAAACTCCTGGCTGTTGATATCCCAGAGTCACAAAAAGCATCTCTGTCTTAAAGTCAGAATTTAAATGAAGGCTTAGGGATTAAGTCTTACTATTTTACAATACAAAGAAAATCCCAAAATGGACATTTATTGATTGCTATTCCATGCCAGGCACTCTACTAATATAATCTTTATATACATAATCTCATTTATTTCTCTAGGTAGTAGGTTTCAGCTTAAACCTCCTTTGACAGGTGGGGGGACTGTTGCTTAATTGGCCTATAATACTAAGGTGGCTGAGTCAGATTCTGAAGGCAGCTTACTGGTTCCAGAGTCCCCAATGTTAACCGCAGCACATGCCCTTGGTAGAAATGTCCACATTTAAACCCTCTTGGGCTTGTGTGGTTTATGAGTGGAATTATCTTTGAGTTTTCTACTCTATTGTATAGGTACAAGCTAAATTTTTAAAAATGTATTTACATTTGTCCTTTGTTGGTTTTATGTTTAGATGAGTATTTAGCTCCCCTAATTTGTCTGGTGGCCAATTCACCTCTGGAAGTTTACAGGCTATAAATCCATAAAGTATGTTAATTTGCTTATAAAAGCAAGTTTTATAAAAAGTTAGAGGCAAGATATGCTAACTTGAAAAAGATAATAATGGATTTAATTTTAAAAATAAAAATCAATGTCAGTTTTGTTTTTGCATTTTTACCTTAATTCTTTTTTAAAAATCCTGAGATACATATAATTTATATAAAAATATTTTGTAAAGACATCCTGCAAAAAGAAAGCTTTTATGAATTTTTATAAATAGGAACTCAGTGGTATCTAATGAAAGGCAGTTGAGTTGGAGTTTTCAGAGAACTTTTTCATTTAAAAATTAAATTTGAGAATTCTGTTTCTGATTCTGACTATTGTTACTAATTTTGTAAGTGGTGTGAGTCACATCTGATTGTGCGCCGTGAGGGTGTGTGCGGGGCCCTTCTCCATCCAGCCGCTCACAGACCAGGCTGCCCACATGCGCCTCTCACTCACGACTGTGCTCACCCCTGCCTTGCGCCTCGATCTTCCACACTTTGCTAGCATGAAAACCGTAGGTCGTTCATCCTGGTCTGCTGAGCCCAGCTTGTTTATACTGTGTCCTTTCATATAAAAAGACTCCGCAAAGTGGCTGGCAGGTAGTGGTTACTTAATAAATGTTTATTACTTCATTCTAGCCTTGAGCCCTGCTCTTGCTAATTACCCTCTTGCATTTTGCCCTAACCAAGTAGTGTACATATATCTTGTTCAAGGTCAGGGCTTGAAATTTTTTCTAATCCTAGTGCAGAAGAATCTTTCATTTTGTGGAACTTTTAGCCTCTGAAAGGAGGCTAACATAACCAGCATATTGGTTTTCTCAGCTGGTCTGAACGGAAAGCCTCCTGAGGACAGAAGATCCTGTTTTCATCTTCACCATCTCTCCTAGCACTAAGCTGCTATGTACTTGGCTGGAGGCCACAGAGACACTTGTCTGCTTATCAGTAATTTTATATTCTATAAAGGCAGAACTTAACAATAAGCCTCTTTATTATCAATGTGGGCTTTTTTGGAGATTAAGTGTGAAATAAAATGAGAAACTGCCTGTGCCTCACTTCTGTCCTTAGAATGTCATTCTGATTTCTGAGGCCAAGATACCTAGGGTCACCTTTGGGAAGACTGGCCACTGATGAGACTTCTGAGGTCTTTAATGACATGCTTTTTGGTTTAGGCCCCTTTAGAAGGAGTTAGGATAAAGAAAGCAATGAAAGTGTGGTCCCTGCTTAAGAAGGTAGTTGTGAACCATTTTAAGTCCACAGAAAACTACTTTGCCAATAACGTGTATTTTCCTGAAGTATGTTCTAATATCTGTAACATCTCGGGACATAGAATTAATTAAGGCTGAGGTACACCCCTATGACTTTCAGTTTTTGTTTTCTTGGACTTGAAACCCTTCTTAGGAGTGTTTTATTTCTCTAATAATAGACTGGTTAGGTTGTGATAAATTAGCTAATTAGAATTTTTTCTGGTCTTCATTTTGTAAGATTTTTGAGCTTCAGATCTATTTGGAGATTGAAATCAGATTTAAGCCTTGATACTTTTGTTTGAAATACGCTCTAGAATTGTAGTGAGAATAAAATAAGGCTTACTTTGACTGTGGCTTTTGACAACTAGTATCACGTTGCCTTTTAGAAAAGGGGTAATATTAAGATATGAGGCATAGCATCAGATTTTAAAGTGTTCGTTTTTCTGCTGTGGTTCTGTGGTACTGGAGATCAAACTCAGGACCTAACACGTTAGGTAAACACTGTAGCGCTGAGCTATACCCTTTTTAATTTTTATTTTGAGACAGAGTCTCTGAGTTACCTTGACTGGCCTCAAACTTGGGATCCTCTTGCCTCAGCCTACCAAGAAGATAACACATTAGAATTTCTAAAAATCCATTATATACTGCTTTTCTTTGTCTCGTGTCTGACTCTTCTTTGTATGGACCACTTGTTACGCTTTTAGATCAGATATACTTTGACTGTGGGTACTTTCCCCCTATTTAGAACCGTAGACAAAGCTCATACTGAATTGAATGGATTGTAGGTTATGGGCCTGTTCTGAACTTTCTGATTGATTAACTCATTTTAATACAACAACTGAAGAGGTAAGTATTCTTACTATACCCAGTTTCTAGATGAGGAAACTGAGACAGTTGCCCATAATCACTTGTTTCTCCCTCATACTACTTACCATATTTGACTTGTGCAGAATGCTAATCTGTCCACTGTGCGGAGGTGAAAGATGCTAAGCGGATCTGAGACATATTGGGGTAATTTGCCTTTTCACCACACTGTGATCTGTGAGGATGTGGATCAAAAAGTAGCTAATGACAGCCCTGGTCCTAAGTTTTATATAGAACCTGAATTTTCTGAAGCTGATAGCCACCAGATCTAAGGATGTAAAGCCTACTCGTACTAACCAGTTTTACAGTTCATGCTTTACAAAATCAGAGTCACAACTAATTGTCAATTATATTTTCTTTAAATTGTCGTATTTAAAAATTTGTCTAATCTTGCATGGAGGAAGATAATATATTGGAAGGTAATTGGGTGGCATTCTGGTAAATTCCACAGACCTGACTCAAAGTTCTGCCTGTTCAGCTTCTAGGAGTTCCCTTGTACTAAACCCTGTACTGCCATGCACATTAGTGTATGGGTATGGATTTTCTCTTTGCGGGGGTGAAAACATTTTGTAGTTAGGTGAGGTCGATGGTTGCACAACAGTGTAAATTCACTTAGTTCTGCTGAACTCTATACTTCAGAATGGTTAAACAGGGTGTGGTGACACATGTCTGTAACTGTAGAACTCTAGGAGGCTGAGGCATGAGGATCACAAGTTCCAGCCCAGCCTGGGCAACTTAGCAAAATAGCCAAACCCTGTCGCAAAATAAACAAAATAATAATAATAAAAAGGACTAGGAAAGTAGCTCACGGCAAAGGCCCTGAGCTTTTTTACATGAATTCATTTTATATGCATTTATATCACACATGGAGAGAGAAAGAGAGAAGAAAAAAAGAAATTTTGTTGTGGGTATTATACCACAATCAAAAGGAAACATTTTTTTATTTTATTTATTTATTTATTTTTTTTCTGGTACTGGGAATTGAACTTAGGACCTTGCGCTTGCTAGGCAGGCCCTGTGCTGCTGAGCTAAATCCCCAGCCCCAAGGAAACATTTTTTTAACAAAGAAAATGTAATTATTTCATCTAGCCCTATGCAAGTGTTACTACTTTGTGTGATTTTATGTTGGTGTTGAATGACATGAACTTACACAGTGAGGTTTGTGAATCTGGCCTAGGAAGGCTCTCCAGTGTGACGCTGAGGATGGAGACTCTGCTCTGAGACTGCTTGGTTCATGTCCAGGCTCCACTGGTTATGTCCCGTGTGACTGTGGATAAGTTACTCAGCCTTTCTGAGTCCTGGTTTCCTAATTGTGCAATAGAGATAGTGATAATACTTCTTTCATTGTGTTATTGTGACTGTTAAATGAGATAAGAATGCTTGAAATACTACGTGTCACATGAAGTGCTAGATGGACAGGCAACTAGACATGAATGCTAAGTTACATTACTGGCATAAATACATCTATACATTTAAACCTAAATTTAACATTTTTTTTTTTGAAGGTAAAAGAAATAGGAGAGTACTTTAAACAACACCTTTTACAGTCCAGGCACAGAGGAGCATTTGAACTGGCTTATACGGGTTTTGTGAAACTCACCGAAATACTAAACAGGTAAAACAAATATCCTTTTGTGTAGGTTTCTGAAAGACTGAATGTACAAACCATGTGCTTGGAATAGAATTTAGTTGTGTCTTTTGATGTTGAAAAGAATAAAGACCTGCTTGGCTACAAAACTCTTGGAAGAAATGGTTTTCTTAGGTTTCATTGTATGATTTACTGCAGATGATGGAGTGAAATGTCCAAACCAAGTTGCTGTCTCATTGAAAGGTGATTTGAAGCGAACGCAGAGATTTTGCTAAAAATAGTTTTGGGATTACTATTTCTTCTCATTGAATGAAATGAATGTTTTGTCTGTTTGAAAATTACTTAGCATTTAAAACAGAATGAACCCTGGAGTTTTGGGATGTATATATATATATATCTCAGAAAACACTTAAGGATTTTGTCTGTTTTGTTGTAATTTTATAGAAAAAATATAAAATAGCAAGTAGAGCAAAAAGTATAAAAGACACCCCCCTGCAGCCTGGAAAAATACTTAGGCAGATCTTACATATTTAACTAAATTATATTTTTCCCATTATATGTGCTGATTTTATTCATTTATATTTTAGATTTTCTCCAAGGAGCTTGTGAGGAAACCTTAAATTAGTTCATGACTAAGTGTTCATGGCAAGTATTCTCTAAATAAAAGGTAGTATTTTCCAGGAAAACATTTCAGTTGCCTGGAAACTTTTTGAAATGAAGCAGAGTTCTGCCAGCCTGTAGCTTCAGCAAACATTTTATTTTGGGCTGTTAAGACATCTACTTGAATATTTTTGAAACTTTTTTCCCACTCTTGGTAAAAAGGTTTATAAAATATCTTGACAGTTATGGACTGCACAGAGTATCTTTAACAGATACTTTTTTTTTTTTTTTGTCTTTTTGAGACAGGATCTCACTGTGCAGTTCAGGCTGGCCTTGAGCTCACTTTGTAGTCCAGGCTGGTCTCGAGCTCCCAACGATCATCCTGCCTCAGCCTCCCGACTGCTGGGATTACAGGTGTATGCTACCACACCCGGTTCACTAAATGATACTTTAAAAATGCCCCTGACATTAAACTGCTGATCTTGAAAATATTTTTATCTTTGCATTTCTTTGATTCCAGCATAGACATGACTTAATGATTTTTTAAAATCAGTCAATTGGTCTTTCTATCTGTCTGCTTATTGTAGTACTGGGGGCTGAACTCAGGGTTTTTGCACAGAGCTACATCCTCCGCCCTTCTTTAATGTTGAGAGAGTCTCACTGTGTCACTAAATTGCCCAGGCTGGCGTGGAGCTTGTTGTCCTCCAGCTTCAGCCTCCCAGAGTGTTACCACGACACCTCACTGTGAATACGTATTTTTTTTCTCACGGTGCAACATACTGTATTCCCTGCAGGCAGTTAACCCATACACATTGAACATTATCTATGTGCCTGGTACTGTACTTGGTTTGGAGAATATTACACTTTATGGAATATGATCCCCATGACCTTATGAGTTACTTTCAGAAGTAAGCAAGGATGAATTTCAAAATATTTAAAGAAGGTCTGCCATGAGCATTAACTGGATACCACAGACATTCAAGCACTTGGCATTGCCATTTGTGTGGATGTGTCTTGGCTCAATACCAGCCTGGAAAATAAGAGCAACATACTTCACAAGATGAAAGCTCCGTTTTGGGCTGGAGGGAGAATGTAGCTCCATGGTAGATAGAGCCCTTGCCAGCATGCTGTGAGGCCCTGAGTTCCATCCCCACCACCACCACCAAAAATCTGCCAAATTTTGGATGAAATTGACAAACCCTTTAGCATTAACAGAGAGAAAAAGTATCAAGGTATGTCTTTGCTGGTAGGTCTGCCTGAAGGAGGTAGAATTTGTGCTCATCAACATAAAGATATAAATAGGTAGGAGAAAGCAGGAAATTTCCTAAGTGTCCCAAGGCTAGAATCAGCAAGCCTGGCTTACTAGGTGAGAAAATAAACCCGCCTCTGTGCAGTATTGCTGGTGTAGAGTTTGTAGGAAATTCCATACAATGGTGAGGCCAAATTGTGGAGTGCCTTGGAAGTATATTTGCTGTAATAAGGACAGAAAGAGCCATCAAATGTTTTTGATCTGAAGTAGGCCCTAGGGAGCAGTACCAGTTACAAAATACAAAAATAGAGAAAGCAGTGCTCTTATTCTTAGTTCTGTGTATGTTCTCCCTGTTGGTAATGAGACTGTACAAAAGTTAATATTCTTAACCTCTGATGTCCTCATCTCTAATGTAAGGAAAAGAATATTTGCTTTACGGACAGATCTCTCTGGCTTTTCTTACATAATCAAATTAAATAAATATTTATGAAGACTGTTAGAGAATTTCTTACAAATGTAAAATATTCTGAGTTTGGTTTTGATTGTGAAGTTAGTGATTTAGGCTAGGTAGATTGTAATGATGGGTTACAGTGAGGAGAGCCTGGTTTCAGTCCAGCAGTCCAGATCTCAGCCGGTGAGGGTTTCCTGTATGACGGTGGGTCTGGGGATGGAGATAAAGATGCCCCATTTCAGTTAACATTTGACCTCATGCAGTAGCAGCACCACACATGACCTAAGGAATGATTAGAAGGGAAGTTATGGACAGATTTATTACATTTCATGCTTATGTGTGTCAGGAGTCTCAGGACATGGTCCGGCGGGGTGGTGCTTCTCTTTGGAGTGTGGTTTGAGTTCATTTGGGGCATTCAGTCACCAGGTGAAGTGGTTGGGAGAGAGCTGGGTCAGCTGCGATTGCATATATGGCACCTTGATGAGGATACCTGGATGACGAGGACCAGCTGGGACTCTGTGTAGCTGTTCACTCAGCATGGAAGTCCTGAGGCAGCTGCACTTCTCACATGGCAGTAAGCTTCTGTCAGAGGGAGTGACCCAAGAGAACCAGGTCAAAGCTGTGTGGTCTTTTCTGACCTAACCTGGGAAGTCTCATAGCATTGCTTCGGTCACTTTGTCTTGGCTCTGAGTCTTTCGGCCAGGCTGGACTCAGCCACCGTTTGATACAGTGGCACGACACTATGGCTGAAGTATAGGGGTAGGAGGAGAGATTGTGGTGGCTGTCACTGACGGATGACTCTGCCACATGAACCCAGTGCATGTGAGGGATCGAGGTCATGGGGGAGTCTGCAGTTGCCCTTGTGGTTTTCGGTTCTAGTGACCAGAAAAGTGGGATTTATGTTACCAAGGCCAGGGAACTTTGGCCCTGGTCCTAAGAGTCAGTTGGTACGGTAGAGGTGGCAAGTTTGTACTGATGAGCAAGATGTGTGTGAGGCAGTGACAGCATGTCCTGGTGGAGATGTTTAAGTCAGCGCTTGGAGACAGGGCATTAATGGAGGTGATGTAGCAGAAGTAGAGTAGCAGATAGGTGAGTGTCTCCATAAACATCATTGCGAGTAGAATGGAAGTCTTTAGGGGACAGCATAAAAAGAGAGAAAAAAAAAAAACAAAGACAGAGGCCTCTGAAGCACTGTGTGATGGTACAGTTAGAGATGTGAGAAGCCCCTGCTGGTATCGCAGCCACTCCTGACCCGCGTTAGAGATCTCCTCACCGCTGTCACTACTGGCTTTTAACCAACCTGTTACAAGTTTTGGGCTGTTGCTTCCAAACCAAGTGATTCTTGATCCCTTGGAGACATTTCAAATCTGCTGAATGGAATGTTTTGCAGAGAGCATCTTTACAGTGTGTGTGGCTTTCTTTTTGTTTGGTTTTTATTTTTAAAAGAAATTTTGTTTCTTTTGGACTCCTTCTGAAAGCTTGTTATAAGCTCTTAAGTTATGAAAAGCTTGTTTAGGCGTACACCATTTAAAAAGTTTGCGAAAAGGAGATGTTCATGCAGCTCCACAGAAATGGAGGCCAACTGCTGGCCACCTCCTGAACTGCAGCTGTGTTGAGGAAGGAAGTACTTAAAGAGATTAATGAATAAATAGCTGAAGAGTTAAACTGAGCCATATTGTTTAAATTGGTTTTTAATAGGATTATTCAAAATATCTTCAAATGTAAACTGACTCTACTATTAAACAATCATCGAAGGATAAATAAGAATGGGAGGCACATTCTGGGAAATTTTTTGAGAGCAGATCTTGTGTGCGCAGTACACACAAATAATATGTTGAGTTAATTTTCTGTAATCTGATTTTCTTATGTAGTAATTTCTGTTCAGAATTTGATGCAGTATTTATACTTTCTTGTAAAACATAATTACGGCCTATGCATAATTACCTGTCTGAGCATTTGATTGGGATGGTTAAGTACATTAAAATTGTAACTTGTATTCAGTTTTTTTTGTTTTTTTTTTTTTTTGAGACAGGGTCTGGCTGTGTAGTTCAGACTGGGTTTAAACTCACTATGTAGCTCAGGCTGGCCTCAAACCTGTCGTGATCCTCTTTCCTCAGCCTCCTGAGTGGTAGGATTGCAGGCATAAGCCACCATACCCAGCTTACAAGTTTTTGATAAAATTCATAACTGCTTCTTTTTATGATGTTAGAATTAGAACTTGTTCTTTCAGTTGAAATGAACAGAATCCTAAATTAGGATTTGTATTGGAGAATTTAGCTTTCACTTATCCAATCATAAGTTAAAAGCTTGCTTATAAGGGGACAAAATTGTTGACTTAAAAATCTAGACCAGACATTTGTGAGAACTTGGTGATATTTTAACTGTCATATATTTGAATTGCACTGCTTATTGAAGTGTGGTTTACCCTACAAATATTTATTGCAATTATTTTCTCATTATGAGCCTCAAAAAATGAACTGCTGACATTTAGTTGTTGTTGTCATAAAATACCAGGGTTGGCTCATGGAGATCAACAGTTCTGATGGTCACAAGTAATTCAAATACATATGTATTTAAACTCTCAGTTAATTGTAGCTTCTATGATTCAAACTCAGTAGAAGATTTTTATGAACAATTGAAATGTAATAGTGAAAAAATAATTTCTTCTAATTGTCAAACGTTGTATGTGAGATTTTGGGAAAAAGTCATTCACCCTGAATTAATTTT